ATCAGAGATCAGATGCCTAGAAGGCAATGAGGTTGTATCTCATGCTACCTCCATGAGCTTGTTACAGTTTTGTCTATTAGAACCAGGGTTAGTAAACTTTTCTGTAGAGAGCCAGAAAGTAAATATTTTCAGAGAGAATATAGGATAATCACAGCAACTTGGGAACCTGTTCCCATGAGGGAGCCCTAGAAGATGTTACTGGCTCCTGCCTTCAGATTGGCTCAGCTCCAGCCCTCGGGGCTATGTATGGAGTAAACCAGCAGACACAGGATTTTTCTGTTTCTCTTTCTCTTTGTAAGCCTGCCTTTCCAATAAATAAAATTTCAAAAACAATTAAAAAAATCTAGGGCCTGGCGCCGTGGGCTAGCAGCTAAAGTCCTCGCCTTGAAAGCACCAGGATCCCATATGGGCTCTTGTTCTAATCCTGGCTCCCCCACTTCCCATCCAGCTTCCTGTCTGTGGCCTGGGAAAGCAGTCGAGGACGGCCTAAAGTTTTGGGGCCTGCAACCATGTGAGAGACCCGGAAGAGGCTCCTTGCTCCTGGCTTTAGATGTACTGTTGGGTGTTGTGGCCCAGTCTGATTTGACCCACCTCACCTTGGCATTTGCTGCCTGGTGCTATAGCCTGGCCTGGTCTACCCCCAGTTCCAACTCATGCTGATAGGTGCTGCCTCCTAGGCTCGCTAAGCCCAGCCAGTCCCCAGTCATGGTGCTGATGTGAACTAGCTGGTGTTACAGTCCAACCTGGCTTGTCCTGCATTCCCATCCTGGCTCTCAGAGCTACCAGGGGGTGTATGAACTGGCCCATCCTGAACTGCTACTTGTGCTAACACGTACCATGTCCAGGCCTGGTTTGGGCTGCTCCCAGCCCTGGTTCTTGCCCTCACTTGCAGGGACTTTGTCCTGACAAGGGAGTACCCCAAGCTCCTCTATTAGGTTTCCTTCCAGTGGCAAATCATGTGCACACTAGTGGATCTTTGGTCCAGACTGAGTTCACCTCTTGTCCTTACAGGAACCATGGACTTGCCCAACTGGGCCACACCTTTCTGGCTCTTAATGCTGGGCGCTACAGTCCAGCCACACCAGGTCCACACCCAGACATAGCCCTCTTGTGGTTCAGCAGGTGCCTAGACCTAGCCCAGCTTGTTCCACACCCACCTTGGCTCTCATGAGCACGAGTGGGCTCAGTTTGGCACATTCAGGCCCAGTCCTCACTCATGTTAACGGCTGCTGCCACCATGTCCAGCCCAGCTTGCAACCCCCATTCTGGCTCTCACACTCACCAGTAGAAACTACAGCTCAGCCGGGGTGCCCCCTTAACTCGCAACCAGGTCTGTTTTCCGCCACAGATGTTGCATGTGCCAGTGGTTGCTCTGACCATACTCGGTGTCTAGGCCTGCCATATAGGCCCCCAGATATGGCTTTAGTATGTACTGCTGAGTGGTAGTTGGCAGGAATCCATGCTAACTAGCGCAGTTCAGGTCTCCCTCATGGGCTGGTGCATCTGTCTGACCCATAAAGGTCCTCTAGTTTCTCCCCCAACAAATCACTCAAGTCTCAGCCCCCTTGCTTACCTGCAAGTACAGTGGCCTTGTTGATGGAAGTCCCTCAAAAGTCATTCCTCACTTGCAGCATACTCCCTCAGTAGTCCTCCCTCCCACACATCCCCTTTCCCTGGTCACTCCACAGTGGCTGCACCTGGGAGTTTTATCCAGGCCTCCCATGTACCTGATTTCCCAGGTGCATTAGTAGGGAGCTGGATTTGAAGCAGAGCAACTGGGACTCTATATAGCATCTTTATGGAATGTATTGCAGGCAGTGGCTTAACCCACTAGGATGCCATAGTAGCAGCTCAGGTTATGTAACTTACGATACTGGCTTGATATAATTCATTTGGTTCCAAATGAACAGACATGATAATGAAAAAGTTCTCTTCTTAGTAAAGGGATCTGTCATCCTAGCTATGACCTCATCCGGAATTAATCCTTGTAGCATTCCTCTTTTGTGCAAATAGGTAGCAAGTGAAAGACACCATTATTTCCCTCAGGCTACTTGGTAAGTCATTGCACAATGAGGAACAAAACCTAGTTTTACTGATGGCTAAAGCTGAGAGGCTCAGCCCTACCCTTTGACACCTCCAGGTCAATAAGATGACTAATTAAACTGTCAATTATTTGCTCTGGGACTTGCTCTACAAGCAACCAGACCAGTTTCAGTCTGTGTTCTCCAGGAGCATGAAATCTACAGGAAGAGGAATTGAAAAAGACTAACAGGTGGTGAAAATGTATGTATCACGAGCAGGTCTCACTGCACATGCACCCTGATGGCAAAGTCGAAGGAAAAAACCAGTGAGTCTGGGGCTCTATGATAACACCCTCTTTCCTAGGATGAGGAGTTGCTAAGTCTCCTTTGCCTCAAAACTGCTATTTGTGCTTACTTTGTTCTGGAAATTCACACAAATTCCTAATTTCCAAAGCTTTTACAAACAATTTCAGATAGACACACAGGTGAATGGGCCCAGTTTATTACAGACTGCCAACAATTCCAAGGTGAAGGCTACTCTGAGATTCCCAATGAAGGAGGTGCAATTTCCAGGTGTGCAAGAGTAGATACAACAAAGCAAGAATGTGGAAACAATGGTCTCACCCATTTTCCTCTAACCCTTGATCCTTCCCACCCTAGTCAACTATGTAAACATCATTAAAAAAAAAAGAGAGAGAGAGAGAGAGAAAGAGATTCATTGAGAATATAGACCCAGAGTGAATGGTTCCCTAAATTTCTGCTGCTGGAAGTCTGATCAGGTGTTTCTCAGGGGCCCTTGGATTTTTGTAAACTAACAGTCTCCCTGGCCTATTCCCTCCTTCCAGAAGTGACCAATGATCCTCCTCTCTTGAATACCCTAAGCAGGTTCTTTCCAGTTTGTAGCTAGGAATTATTTGTTGCTTTGGTTCGCTTCCTGCTTTGCTGTTCTTTGAATGTTGCCCCTTCTCATCTTGCTGCTTCACTGTTAATCATTTTGGGCAAAACTCTTCAGTGTTTGTATGCTGTCTTTTTTTTTTTAAGATTTATTTATTTTTATTTGAAAGGCAGATGTACAGAGGGGAAGAGAGACACGGAGAAAGATCTTCCACCCGATGGTTCACTCCCCAAGTGGCTGCAACAGCTGGAGCTGAGCCAATCCAAAGCCAGGAGCCAGGAACTTCTTCTGGGTCTCCCACACGGGTGGCAGGGTCCCAAGGCTTTGGGCTGTCCTTGACTGCTTTCCCAGGCCACAAGCAGGGAGCCGGATGGGAAGTAGGGCTGCTAGTGTTAGAACCAGCGCTCATATGGGATCCCATAGCGTGCAAGGCAATGACTTTAGCTGCTAGGCTATTGTGCCAGGCCCTGCTGTCTTTTCCTGTTAAAAGAATTCTCCTCACTCCTCCCCGTGGGTCAGTGATATAGATTTGTTCTGTTTCTTCTGGTTGAACTTTTTATTTCAAAATAATTTTAAATATGTTGAAAAAATACAAGAATAAAAAAACTGGCACTGAACATGAATAGCCCTCTACATAGACTGACTTATTGTTTGTCAATGCTTTTTGTAATCTGTTATATATTTACAAATTGATAATATTTTTTTCAGAACCATTTGAGAGTAAACTGACTTTTTACCTATAAATTTTCTCCTATGTAATCAGGCTTGCTGCCATCTCAGCTAGCAGCTTAACTTACTACACCACAACGCTAGCCCTACTAGTTTACATTAATCTAAAATAGTTCCATAGTCTTTCTATGTTATTTGTGACACTGACCTTTATACAAAGAAACAGATATTTTTTTTCTGAGATTATTCCTGATTCTGTGTTTGCCTGATTTTTTTTTTCATGAGTAGATTCAAATTATACCTTCTCTATTGAAAGAACTCATGGTGTCCACTACCATGCTGGTCCCCTTCCATACAGTTTTAAAAGTTCCTTTATATAGTTACTATTTTTTTTCCTGTGGTCAGTAAAAAGCCACATGTGAGAGATACTTCATGACCACCCAAATTTCCCATCTCAAGTTAACATTGATTCATGGTTCTTGCCTGCTCAACCCTTGCCCACATTTCAAAGTCAGCATTCAGCCTTTCACTGTAAGCAGTGTTTCTTCTTCATTTCTTCCTTTAGCTATGTATGCAAATTTGCTAAAGAATCATAGATTTTTGCTTTTCCCCAAAGCCTACAACTTATTAATCTTCTGAATTATTCTGTCCTGCAATTATTCCAGATCTGGCCAGTGGAAGTCCCATCAAACTCTGAGAGTCCTTTTACCAGGTTTCTAAACACAACTCACTTTCTGGCCTAAAGAGTGCTTCAGGCTCATCCAGGGCTGTTCCTTTCCCATCAGCAGTCATTTTCCTAAGGCCTTTCTTAGAACCTGCTTGGTACCTGGGCAGCAAAGGAGAGAGTCTAAGAAAGGCCACGGTGGCCATGAGCTTCAGATGCTACTGAAAGGCTTAGAACAAACACATCATGATCTCCACTGACATTACAGGCAGTTGTTTAGGCATGGCAAGTGTTGCTTGGGCCCTGTACATTAAGTAATTGAGGTCTCTACCATGTGCCGGGACTGTGAGAGATACACAGGCTCTAAGACACCCCTGTAAAGTGATGGTGCTCCTGCCAGATTGACATACATGTATGGAATACCCACAGCATATTGCAGCAAATATTCTTTACAATGTCACTGAGCGATGTAAAGGAGCTTGGGGTGGGAGTTCTAGGGTAAAAAGGTCATATTTGTAACTGGCTGGTTAGAGAAGTTTCATTGAGGTAACCTTGACAGAAGGTAGGATCTGCAAGAATAGTTTTCCTGGTGAAACCACAGGTTCCTTTTCACGGAGTCCTAATCAGACATGACTTTGCAACTAGGTAAGGCCTCTTGTCAGGTGCTGTAAAGCTCCTAAGAGTTGCAGTGAATGTAGGACAGCATTCCTGCTGGCTGCCTGTTGTAATGTCATCTCATTTTTATTTTCAGACACAGATGAACCATGTCCTTCATTCACCAGGCTGAGTTTTCACAGTGCAGTGGTTGGTACAGAACTCAGCGTGAGGCTGCTGCTCTACACAAGAGAAAACAGCTCCTGTGCACAACTCATCAACTCCACAACTTTTGGAAACTTAAATATAACCAAGAAGACCACCTTCATTGTCCATGGATTTAGGCTAACAGGCTCCCCTCCAGTTTGGTGGGAAGACTTAGTAATGGCTCTGCTCAATGTAGAAGACATGAATGTGGTTGTTGTTGATTGGAATCGCGGGGCTACAACTGTACTTTACAACCAGGCCGCTAGCAACACCAAGAAAGTGGCATTAATCTTGAAAGAGTTTATCGACCAGATGTTGGTAAGAGAGAATTCTCTTGGACGATTTGGAATTGATTTAAATTCTGCCTTCTGGAGTTTTAAAGAGATAATCTGGAGTGCTTATGAGGTCCGTGTTGTAAATCTGCACAGGCCCCAGGAGAAGAAATGGGGGTAAAGGGATGCCTGTGAGGTCTGTAAGTATGGTTCTGCAGGTTGCGTACTACATGGCACCTGTCTTAAGAAGCACCACTATCCTTAAAGATACTACAGATTTAAGTATTTATTATGACCCCATAAAGGTGTCTTTTGGGCAGGAGTCTGTCTGAGGCTTTCCTAGCTTACTATCTAGAGTTTCCTCAACTTCCAGGACTGTTCCTTTTGCTAGATGTGTCCAAAGTTTAGTTACATTAACCAAAACTCTGAGATATACAGTCTGATGAGATGATTTATTTTTTCAGAATGACAAAAGGTAAAACCTCACATTTTAATTAGTGATGTTTCATAAATTGTCTCTTCTAGCAGGAAAAGCAAAATGACATAAAACCAGAATAATGCCAGAGTTCGGCAGGTTTGTTGGTCATTGTGCCAGAGGTAGTGTGAGCTTTGTGCCAGCTCCCCAGTTGAGCCACAGCCCTGGGGATGTGAATATTAAAGCGATCCACAACAAGTTATTCCTGCAGCCTGTGGAAAGTGTGGTCCATCCTAATTCCCCTTTCCCCGCTTCCTTCTGTGGTGATTTCCTTTACCAAGTCAGTATAAAGCAGCTAAGGAAGTTCATCAAATGCATGGTTGTCACTCTCTCCAATCTGGATGATGTACAAAAATATCTAGGCTTGCACTCTAGAAGCAGCATGAGTGGACACACATGAACCTAAAGGTTAAGGCACACAGGTTGGAATTCTAGTCAGTGCATTCCTCTGGATGCCTGGCCCAGCACACATGACTTCAACTCCAGGTTTCCATTTCCTCAACTACATCACCAAAGGAGTAATAGTTATACATTGTCTTGGGCACTGTGTTATTTGAATGAGAGAGTACATGTAAAGTGCTTAAAAATAATTTCTCCAAAGATAACTCCTAGGATATTTCTCCAAATAGTGTCAGTTTCCAGGCACCTTCCAATTTATAATGGTGGACTTCTTGAAATTCTAGGCAAAAGGAGCTTCTTTGAACGACATCTACATGATTGGAGTAAGTCTAGGAGCCCACATATCTGGGTTTGTTGGAGAGATGTACGATGGGCAGCTGGGACGAATTACAGGTGAGGCTCCTGCGAATGGGAAAAGGGTTCAGTTCTAGGCAGGGTGTTCCCTGGCAGGCAGGAGTGGGAGGACATCATTCAGGCAATCAAGTCCTTGGGCTCCAAGTCAGCTTTCCCAATGATTTAATTTGTCTGAGCATGGGTCCTTTTGTGAACAAGAGACCATGATGATACTGAGCTTATGTTATTGTTCAATAATACATATACACATATCTCAAGTGTTTTGTAAATTACATATGCCATTGAAAAGACTGGTGGTCCTGACTTTATTTCTCTTTAGGCTAGAAGAGCAGCTGTATGTTATGAGGTTTTGATCTGTGTGCCCCAAACACAGGGCTTCTTCCTTTCATTCAATCCAGGAGAGGCTACATCACATACCTAATCTACTTCAGTCCCTAGGCACAGCTGCTGGGAATGTGAGATGGGACTACTGACCTCTGGGGTTACCCTTTAAATATCAGCTTTCAGACCAATGTTGCATGAAACCACACAGGAGCACCGCAGGTCAAACCCCACACAAAGGCTCCTTTGCTGGACTCTCTTGCCAGTGCTTAGTAACTTTCCACAACTACACAAGAAGGACTGAGGGCAGCTCTCCCGGAATTGAGGCTCTCCCACTCACCTTTCCCACAACCTGTCCTCATAGCCAGGGAGCTATTTAACGTCTAGGTAATCTGGAGGCAGAAATGGATGGGGCAGGGAGGAGAGAGGTTAGTGTTCTGAACCTCTGCTTTTGGGGCTGTGAGTCAGAATGTGCTACTTAAACTTGGCAGGTAGTCTTGGGCAAGGCACCTTGGTCTATGTGTCTGTATGTCTCTGCCCCAGCTCTATCTTTGCTTCTCTCCTTGACTGTCCACACACACACTCCACTTGGCTAGCCCTTCCTGTAACCCTGGTACTGGATGGAGGTCACACTGCTTCTCCCAGATGCTTTTTTTTCTTTTATTATTTTTTTAAATTTTTATTGGAAAGGCAGATATACAGAGAGAAGGAGAAACCGAGAGAAAAATCTTCTGTCTGCTGGTTCACTCCCCAAGTGGCCACAAAGGTGATCTGAAGCCATGAGCCTGAAGCTTCTTCCAGGTCTCCCACATGGGTGCAGGGTCCCAAGACTTTATGCTATCCTTTACTGCTTTCTAAGGCCACAAGCAGGGAGTTGGAACAGCCAAGACATGAACAAGCATCCATATGAGATGCCAGCCCTTGCAAGGCGAGGATTTAACTACTGAGCCCTCCCTGAAGAGTAAACTTGTCCCCATAGCTACTTTGAATATGAACTGCAATGGATTCTGATCTCTTAATAGAAATGCCCCAGGACAACCTTTTTTCTCCTCTGGCTGGCCCTACATGCCCTAACCTATAGCTTGAACTCACCAGTGGGGTTCACTGCCCAATTTTCCATCTCTGCTGACTTCCTCATATTTTACTGATTTCTCATCATGTCTAAGTCCCAAGGCCAATCTCAGCTGTCCCCAAGAGCAACTATAGGAGTAAACTATTTCTACTTTCCACTCTTACCCAGGTAGGCTCACCGGGTTGTGGAGTGGGAATGTGGCCTGTTAAATCCAATTCATTTCCACCAACTGGATCTTTGTCTCCCTAGCATGGCCTGGACGGCTGCTTCGTCTTTTCCATTTACCTTTCTTCCTTAAGTCCTTCCTTTTGTCTCTTTTGTCTTCCTCTCTGGGCACATTTTCTTGTTTTTTTTTTTTTTTTCATCAGATAGAAAATGAATGGATCGAAAATGCTTCAACTGCCTACATCACTTGAATGCATTAAGTTGGATTGTTTAAGGTTGACAATGCTAACCAGACAAATCAAAACTGGTAGGGTGAGGTCAGGTGTCTGCATTTTTTGGCATATCTTTTTTATGCAAAAGGCAGAGCTAAAGAGAGGAGTGACACAGAGAGAAATCTTTGATTTGCTGGTTTTATTTCTAAATAGTAATAATTGCCAGGGTTGAGCCAGGTAGAAGCCAGGAGCCTGACACTACATATACGTCTCCCACATGGGTGGCAGGGCCATCTTTTCCTGCTTTCCCAGACACATTTGCAGGGAATAGAAGAGCCAGGACTCAAACCAGCCTCTTTTGGAACCCCAGTGTCACAGCTAACAGCTTAATCCACTTCACAACCAGGCTGGCCCCAGGAATATGTCTATCTAACTTAAAGACGCAGATGGTCTGAACATATTCTGTGACAAATTATGTTAGCGTTGAGCTGTCCAATAAAGTAGTTACTAACCACATGTGGCTGCTGAGCCCTTGACATACCCAGTGCAAACAGATGTGCTCTAAATGTTAAACAGGCATGATTTGGAACATTTATAAAAAAATAATAACAAACACAAAAAACCCACTCTTTTAAAAAATATTGATTACATGTTAATATTAACATGATAATTTTTTTAAATTAACATGATATTCTTTTAAAAATATTTACTTATTTATTTGAAAGAGAATCAGGAGAGGAACTGATAGAGATCTTCCATATGCTAGTTTGCTTCTGAATATCCCCAACAGCTGGAGCTATACCAGGTCAAAGCCAAGAGCCAGGAACTTAGTTTGGATCTCCTATGTGAGGGCAGGCTTCCTGTAACTTTTGCCTGATGTTGTAAGCTGGTCACCTCTAGTGCTTGTCACAAGTCTGAGTTTGTCTATAACATATCCAGATTGCGCCTTTAGTCCTCTTGCAACTATTAACAACAACACCCTATTCATTCTCAAAATTGCCTAGTTTAGATGTTTCATCTGCTAGGGATCAGGAGGTTGATGACCAGGGAGGCCCTCACTGCCAGTTTTCTTAGGCAATGCCATTGTTTTAGGTCAGCAGGCAGATTCCCTTGCAGATTATGAGTTTCTCACATTGTGTTGAGAATGTGCTATGGATGCAGGTGTCCGGATGTCAACCCATCACATCCTCCCACTTCAGTTTCAGTTGGGAGTAGACAGAAATGGAAGTGAGATAAGGACAGGAGTCAGATAGAGAAATGGCTCAGGGAAGCTACACATTAGGAGGGCAGCAATGCTATGACGGAGGCTAGACCCAGAGAAGGTTATTCATGCTTAACACCTCGGATGGGAGATGTCATCTAAAATGACTGTCACAGGCAGAAACTTCAAGGCCGACATCCCTTGTAAACACTTCATGCCAGGCAAGGCTCTAGTGAGCAGGGCCCTTTGTGAGCTGCTGGCTTTAAGTTCAAAGTTTTTATGTTGTGGTCTCCACATCATAAGAGCTGCTGTCTGTTTTTCCAGCTGCTTCAGAGTGACAGTGAGAAATGCCAGCGAATACTGGCTGAAGTCCAGAAATCAGTTCAGGTATCCATGGAGTGGGATATTTCTGCAAGGGCTGACACCCACTCCATTTCCTTATGTGATACGTGCTTTGCCTAGGAGTTTCACTCTTTCCTACTGAGCTTGCCCAACATAATGCACAGTAAAATCAACAGCCGCACACATAAAAGTGTTTGCATTATGAAGCTGTAATCTAGTCCAGACACTGGTCTCTCTGAATCTCAAGTCATTTGACTGCACAGTGGGACTAGGTACACCTACCCTGCCAGTTGTATAGGTTTGTAATGCAGAGTAAATAAGCTAGTATACACGGATAAGAGTGGACACTGTAAAGGAGTTTGATTCATAAGAAGAAGAAAGTGTTAGATCATGTAAAATGGGATAAAGATCAATATACAGTATTGGCTTTCTTTTATGTACCCTTGGCCCTCCCCATCTCCAGCCCTGGAAGAATCAGTTTGCCCCACTGTCTGGTCCCTCTCTCGCTGTGAGAGAGACAGAGAGAGAGAGAGAGAGAGAGAGAGAGAGAGCGCGTACACGCACATTCCCTGCTGCTGAGCTCAGCATGAGGTATGCCTGCTGTTGGGAGTCCAGAAGCCCTTCTCAGAGGCACTGCCAGGTTAACCCTCTCCACTGTGGGAAAAAGCTCTGCATCTGTGGAAAGCAGATGGCAGCGTGAGTGCTCGCCCACCCAGGTTGCCCTGGAGCCTAGGAGCCATGGCATCAGGAGGGATCAAAGGCCTAGCTGCAGATGACTCACTGCGTGGAGCTGCCAAGTGACTCTGTTTCCTTCCAGGTCTTGACCCTGCCGGCCCTTTATTCAATGGGAAGCCTCCCCAGGACAGATTGGATCCCAGTGATGCACAGTTTGTTGATGTCATCCATTCAGACATTGACGGTAACATTCCTGTCCTTGTGTATCAGTGACACCCGCTCCACCCCAGACACACAGAGTCTCCCCCTGGGGGCATCAGCATGCAGAGGCAGGTCGAGTTCCTCTAGATTTTCTCTTCTCTTAGGGTACAACTCCAAAGCCACAGAAATATTAAGGGAAACTGGTTTAAGGCAAGCACCCAAAATCCCATACTGGAGAGGGGATGGTTCTCCCATCACCTCTTCTTTGTAAAAATGATCATCCGTGACAGACTTACATACCATATGAACAAATGTACCCAAATGTGCAACTTGGCTGGGATGCATGTTTTTTTGCTTTTTTTTTTTTTAAAGATTTATTTATTTATTTATTTATTTATTTATTTTATTATTATTTTTTGATTGGAAAGGCGGATATACAGAGAGGAGAGACAGAGAGGAAGATCCTCCATCCGATGATTCACTCCCCAAGTGAGCGCAACGGGCCGATACTATGCCAATCCGAAGCCAGGAGCCTCTTCCGGGTCTCCCACGCGGGTGCAGGTTCCCAAAGCTTTGGGCAGTCCTCGACCGCTCTCCCAGGCCACAGGCAGGGAGCCGGAAGGGAAGCGGGGCTGCCGGGATTAGAACCGGCGCCCATATGGGATCCCGGGCATGCAAGGCGAGGACCCCTAACCACTTGCGCCACCGCGCTGGGCCCTGCTTTTTGCTTTTTTAAAGAATTATTTAATTTTATTGGAGACTCACAATTACAGAGAGAGAAGGAGAGACAGAAAGATCTTCCATTTGCTGCTTCACTCCCCAAGTGGCCACAATGGCTGGAGATGAGCCAATCCGAAGCTAGGAGCCAGGAGCCTCCTCTGGGTCTCCCACATGGAAGGCCTTGGGCCCTCCTCCACTATTTAACTAGGCTACAAGTAGGGAGCTGAATGGGAAATGGGACCACTGGAATATGAACTGGTGCCCATAGGGGATCCCAGGCAAGCAAGGCAAGGACTTTAGCCACTAGGCTACCATGTGGGGCTCCTGCCTTTTTTTTTTTTAAATACTCATAACTCCTTTAAGGTGAGAAGCAAGTTCTGGGTTTGGGTCTCACACAGAGGAACTCTGAGCCCATCAATGGCCTGCCAGCTCTATGGCCTTTTCACGGCTCTGATTTCACTGAATGCATGGGGGTTGGAGTGAGGTCAAGGATGGGTGTCTACTGTATCCATCTGGCAAGGCTGTGCTACTTCCCAAAGTCCCCTGCCTCCTACCTTCATCTGTCATGCTACTTTATCTGAATTTAGCAATAGCTACTTTGCTGACACTGTGAAAACCAGGAGACAGGTGTGTGTAAAGCACCTAGTATGGTGTTCATGGATACATGCCAGACAATATATAATATTATATTTTATATATGAATATATCTCAACATGTAACAACTGCTGGTATTACCATAATGTACTTTCTATGTTTACATATGTATGTATACACAATTACAAGTAATGCTTCAATCAAACATTTCAATGGCCATTTTGCAGTTTCATGGTTAAAGAATATAAACTTACCAACATTTTTTAGTTCACCATTTAGTATAAGCATTGCCAATCTATTATTATTATTATTATTATTATTATTATTTACCACCCTTGATCTCAAATTTGTAAAGATTTTTTATACAAAGTAAAAAGATACAATTTTCCTGTTTTACATTTGTAAAGATTTACACAGATGCAAACAGAGGCCCAGGAAGCACCCAGCAATTAGAAGGCTCCAGCCAAAGATCAAGAAGACAGGGGTCCTTTTTGCCAGCCTTTTGGTGGATCAGAGACCAAATTCCTATATATTTCAGAAATATGGGAAGTCAATTCTGTTACCATCTTCACAGTCCCCTAGTTAGAAATCACCGCCTCCTAGTTAACTGTTAGGATAACTGTGAAAAAAATATAACAATATAACAATGATAAGCACAGTAACGATATAATAATAACAAATCTCTGCCCATATCCTATAGGCAAGTGAGTTAGGAAACGTGAAAAGAAAGCAGTGTAAAGAACAGTGTGCTCTCTTCTAGCACTGGGCTTCAAGGACCCATTAGGAAACATAGATTTCTACCCAAATGGAGGATCGGATCAACCTGGTTGCCCCCAAACAATCTTTGGAGGTAAGTACAGACACATTCTGTTTTGTAAAATAGTGGTTTGAAGAAGGCATATTTAAAAATTTTGGCATTTTTATAGATCCAGGTATTTTTTTAAAAGCTGTGGAACATTTCTCTTTTTTAAAGATATTAATTTCTTATTTGAAAGTCAGAGTTACAAAGCGAGAGAGAGGGAGAGAGAAATCCTTCATCTGCTGGTTCACTCCCCAGATGGCCAAAATGGTCAGCACTGGGCCAGACCAAAGCCAGGAGTTCTTGTGTCCCCCAAGAATTGCTGCTTCTTGGTAAACCTCAGCTTTAATCATTGGTTACAATTCAAGGTTGTTGGGACCAGTGGCACAGCAAGTTAAGCTGCTGTCTGTGATGTTGGCATCCTATAAGGATGCCAGTTTGAGACCCAGTTGTTCCACATCTGATTCAGTTCTCTGCTAAGGTGGCTAGGAAAGCAGCAGAAGATGGCTCAACTGCTTGAGCCCCTGCACCCAACTAGGGAGACTTGGAAAAAGCTCCAGTCTCCTGTTTTTTTGCCTAGCATAGACCTGGCCTATTGCATCCATTTAGGAAGTGAACCAGGTGATGGAAGATGTCTTTCCCTCTCTTTCTCTGAACTGTACCTTTCAAGTAAATAAAAAATAAATCTTAAAAAAAAAAACCTTCCCCATAGGGGAAAAAAAAAACCCCTCCCTTAAAAAAATTCAAGGTTGTGTGCCCTTATGTTACACTATGCCCCTGCACACACACACACACACACACACACACACACACACACACACACACAGGTTCCATCTTCCATTCTGCAGCATAGAATGGTTCTCAAAATTCAGTATGCATCAAAATCATGGGAAAGGCTTGTGAAAACAGTATGACACCCTGCTCTCCTGCTCCTCAACCCCCTCAGGGCCAGCCCAATAATTTGCATTTCTAATGAGTTCCCAGGTTCTCAGGTAAGAGCTGCAATGCTGCTCCTCTGAGACAGAAGTTTCAGAACTTTCATAGTAGAGCAACCAACACAGGTTTGCAAGCCACATAGAGCTGGCCTGAAATTCCTTGCCTCCCTTCCTACATCAGCATGAGAACTCTGGCTCTGAGCCTCAGCTTTTTCATATCCCAGTTCTCTCACCTACAAATCATGCTCATGCCTCCCACTTTGCATGACTGGGAAAGTTTGCAATATATTATATAAAACACCTGCAACTTAGGATGTACTTAGTCACACTGCCATTCCTGGTTATTGCTTATTCTGAGAGTTACACAATTTGTAGATTTGTTGTTTGAATATACTGCAAAACAAATTTTGGAATACTTACTTTCCCAAACAAGAAACAAAATTAAAATACAAAACACATCTAAATGAGCATTGAATGTCTTTCACTAAAGCATATTTGTGACTTGGCATAGCTTTAATTTGACTCCATCTTTTCTCCTGACACCTGCCAGCATAAATTCTTATGTATGAGTTTTTTTTTCTTTTGTGTGTGTTTTTATATTTATTTGAGCCTGGTGCGGTGGCCAAGTGGCTGAAGTCCTCGCCTTGAATGCGCCGGGATTCCATATGGGTTCTAATCCCAGTGGCTCCACTTCCCATCCAGTACACTGTTTGTGGCCTGGGAAAGCAATCGAGGACAGCCCAAAGCCTTGGGACCCTGCACCTATATGGGAGAACTGGAGGAAGTCCCTGGCTCATGGCTTACGATTGGCGCAATTCCAGTCGTTGTGGTCACTTGGGGAGTGAATCATTAGACTAAAGATCTTCTTCTCTGTCTCTCCTCTCTTTATATCTGACTTTACAATGAAAATAATTTTTTTTAAAGATTTATTTTATTTTTATTGGAAAGGTGGATATACAGAGAGGAGAGACAGATAGGAAGATCTTCCATCCGATGATTCACTCCCCAAGTGAGTGCAACGGCCGATACTATGCCAATCCGAAGCCAGGAGCCTCTTCCGGGTCTCCCGCGTGGGTGCAGGGTCCCAAAGCTTTGGGCAGTCCTCGACTGCTTTCCTGGGCCACAGGCAGGGAGCTGGAAGGGAGGCGGAGCTGCCGGGATTAGAACCGGCGCCCATATGAGATCCCAGGCGTGCAAGGCGAGGACCTTAACCACTTAACCACCTTAACCACCGGGCCCGAAAATAAAATTTTTTTAAAAAATTCTTATTTATTGGAAAGGCAGATCACATTTACTAAGAGAATAAGAGACAGAGAGAAAGGTCTTCCACTTGCTGGTTCACTCCCCAAATGGCCGTGATGGCTAGAGCTGAGCTGATCTGAACCCAGGAGCCGGGAGCTTCTCCTGGGTCTCTCATGCAGGTGCAGGGTCTCAAAGCATTGGCCAGTTCTCTACTGCTTTCCCAGATCATAAGCAGGGAGCTGGAAGGGAAGTGGAGCAAACAGGACATGAACTGGTGCCCATATGGGATCCCGGCACTTGCAAGATGAGGATTCTGCCGTTGAGCCATCGTGCCAGGCAGTATGTTTGAGTTTTTATAAGGAAATGGAACCAAGTGCACTGAAGCTGTTAACACAGTGCTGGCACATAGCAGACAGGTGATAAGCTTTGTGTAAAACGTGTGATGTGTTATTATTTAACGCTAACTGCTCTACTCCCTTTCACAATCAAGGGATGCAGTACTTTAAATGTGACCACCAGATGTCCGTGTTCCTGTACCTTTCCTCCCTGAGAAAGAACTGTACCATCACTGCCTACCCCTGCGACTCCTACCGGGATTACAGGAACGGCAAGTGCATCAACTGTGGCACATCCCAAGGGAAGCCCTGCCCCCTGCTGGGTAAGTCCAATAAGCAATTTTCCTCTCTGATTAATAAACAGCTAACTTTTGTTGCTATGAATTCCAGAATCGTTTTACTATCTAAAAATGGGTCTCTAAACTTTATTTTATTCATTTATTTATTTATTTTTAAAGATTAATTTGTTTTTATTGGAAAGTCAGATATACAGAGAGGAAAATCTTCCATCCATTGATTCACTCCCCAAGCGGCCGCTATGGCTAGAGCTAAGCCAATCTGAAGCCAGGAACTTCTTCCAAGTCTCCCACACGGGTGGAAGGTCCCAAAGCTTTGGGCCAATCTCGACTGCTTTCCCAGGCCACAAACGGAGCTGGATGGGAAGCAGAGCTGCCGGGATAGGAACGGGCGCCCATGTGGGATCCTGGGTGTGCAAGGCGAGGACTTTGGCCACTACATTATCGTGCTGGGCCCTATTCATTTTATTTAAGAAGTATAGAGACGGGTAGCTATCTTCTCTGGTAGGTTTAAACTCCAAGTACCCACGATGCCGTCTGGGTTTCCCATGTGGCTGACAGGGACCCTAATACTTGAGCCATTGTTACACCCTCTGAAGGGTGCATATTAGCAGGAAGTTGGGTACATATGGAAGAGTGGGGCCATGAATCAGGCACCCAACTATGAGATAGGGGCATTCCAAGCAGCAACTCAACTACTGTACCAAATCATGGCCCTTTCAACACAGATACACATTGTGCTTTTCTTTCTTAAAAAACTGTTCCTAGAGCCACCAGTGTTGCAATATAATCAAAGAAATGCCAGTTCAAATCCTGGCTACTCTATTTCCAATCCTGCAGCTCCCAGCTAATGCTCTGGGAAAGCAGTGGAAGACGGCTCAAGTGCTTGGGCTCCTGCACCTACAGCTAGACAAAGCTCCTGGCTCCTGGCTTCAGCCTGGCTCAGTGACTTGGCTGCAACAGTCTTTGGAGAGTGAACCATTTAGAAGGTTCAATCCACTATGCCAGCCCTATGAAATACATTTTTTAAAGAAAATGTCTAGATACTTCTTTTCTAATTAATTTGTTCTTTGGACTACTCCAATCCCCTAATAAGCGTTAAGAAAAAAAGGCAATCTGAACCTAGAATGTAATACAAACTCCTCGGTCTCTATCTCAGCATGAATAAGAGGGTTCAGGAGAGTTTCTGAGCCCAGCCCAGGCACAGTCACTTTACATTAGCTGCTTCTGTGAGGACTGGAACACTGTGCACACAACTCCAGGGGCCCATTGGCCCTCCTGCCTGATGAGCCTTACAGAGGGATTCCTCCCTATAGCAAGGCAATGAGTGCCCTAAGCCACGCTCTGGCTCCTCATGTGGTAAGCCCACTATCTGTTTACATTAGAGGCCCAACTATCATCCTTCAAGAAAGCATACTGCTTCACAAGAATGATGCTATTTTAGGTATAAACCTGAATGTGTTTTAATCTAGAAAATGCCTATATTACTGAAAAATATCAGTGCTAGTTTTAGTTCTCATCAGTGGGAGTGAACCACTTCCCATTCTCTCATAGTACTACTATGAACCAGTTAAGGAGAAAAAAGCCTCCCAGCTCCTGGGGATAGAGTCAATATGGGTGGCCACTGAGGAGACCATGCCTTGTGCCCTGCAGCCTCTCACTGCAGAGCTAGGAGGGATGGGGAAAGGATGCCTGGCTGGTGGCAGCTGCCATCAGATTTGCTTTTAGGTTTATCTAATACCTGATAATGTTATGTTTTTCCAATTTGTTTTGTAGGGTACTATGCCTACAGATGGAAGGACTATTTGAATGAGCAAGATCCTCCAATGATTAAAGCATTCCTCGACACAGCTGACAGGGAGCCATACTGCAGTGAGTGATGAATGTGGCTGCCCCATTTTCCCTGGAACATGGCTAGTCTCAGTGTGCCAGCCATTCCTTGGCAGATGAGGATCATGCATGGTGACACAGGCACTTTATAGCTGGAAGGACCCAGACTAAACCCTATTCTGTCACATCACAGCTGTACGATCTTGGCCAAGTCACTTAATCTCTTGGCATCTCAGTGTCTTGCTTGGTAAAATGGAGTATAATCATCACTATCTTCTGAATCGTAAGGATTAAAATCTTAACAGGTTGGAGTTGTTAACATTCTAATCACTAAGCTCTTAACAGAAAATTGCTAGATTCCCCAAAGAACATGTAATTGGGGTCAGGTGTCAGCCATAGTGATGGATCAGTTTTAGCTGTAAGGCATCTGTAATGACTGGAAGACATTTATTCGAGGGCTGTGAATCCCAGATGGGAGTTCAGTGGTATAGCACATGATTAGATGCTCTGTGGAGCACCTAGAGGTCACCTGGACAGAGACATGTTTTTCTTGCAATTTTGGATCTTTTTGCACCTTTCTTGGGAGCAACCTTTTTTTTTTTTAAGTTACTTATTTCTTATTGTAAAGGGAGCTATATAGAGAGAAGCAGAGACAGGGAGGAATATCTTCCATCTGCTGATTCACTCCCCAAATGGCTGCAACAGCCAGAACCGAGCTGATCCAAAGCCAGGAGCCAGGAGCTTCTCCCTGTCTCCCGTGTGGGTACAGGGTCCTAAGGCTTTGGGCCATTCTCTACTGCTTTCCCAAGCCACAAGCAGAGAGCTGGATGGAAAATGGAGCAGCCGGGATAGGAACTGGTGCCCATATGGGATCCTGGCTTATGCAGGATGAGGATTTAGCCACTAGGCTATTGTTTTGTGCCCCTCCCCCCACTTTCTTTTTTAAGTTTGTAGATCACTGGGTTTCCCTTTTCCTTGGGCCCATGTGTGGCAGCCCAGGAACTGTCATCTGCCTGGTGTGGGCAAGCTCCTGAGTAAGATGGAACCACAAGATAACTCCAGGCCTGGCATACTCTTTCATGGAATCACTTGTTCCCTCAGCCTCTTTCCCTTTCTATGCAGGTATCACCAAAAGATGATGTATCCGACTATCCCGTAGGGGTCATCATCTTCCCCAAACACACTTAACCTTAAGATATAAAAAAGTTCAGGGACGGAGGCTGGTATAGCACATAAAGATTCTACCTATGCTGGTGGCAATCCCATATGGGCACTGGTTTGTGTTTCAGCTGTTCCACTTCTGATTCAGCATCCTGTTAGTGACCTGGGAGAACAGTGGAGGATGGCTCACATACTTGGGTACCTGTTACCCACGTGGGAGATCCAGATGAAATTTCTGGCTCCTGGCTTTGGCCTGGATCAGCCCTGGTGGTTGTGGCCATTTGGGAAGTGAACCAATCTCTTTCTGTCTCTAGCTTGAGTTTCTTTCTTTTTTTTTTTTGAAAGATTTATTTTATTTTTATTACAAAGTCAGATATACAGAGAGGAGGAGAGACAGAAAGGAAGATCTTCCATCCAATGGTTCACTACCCAAGCGGATGCAATGGCTGGAGCTGAGCCAATACGAAGCCAGGAGCCAGGAGCTTCTTCCGGGTCTCCCACACAGGTGCAGGGTCCCAAAGCTTTGGGCCATCCTTGACTGCTTTCCCAGGTCACAACCAGGGAGCTGTATGGAAGTGGTGTTGCCAGGATTAGAAACAGCGCCTATATGGGATCCCAGGCGTGCAAGGCAAGGACCTTAACCACTATGCTATCGTGCCGGGCCCTAGCTTGAGTTTCAAATAAATAAATAAATGTTAAAACAAACACAAAATTCAAGGAGGAAAAACAGTTTTCTGAATATATTATGTGTTCCCATTTATTCAATAGGAAATTGTGGGTAGCCACAGGGTATTAGTGCTGGGAATACAAAGAAGAATAACCCCTTTCCAGTTATTGTATGAAATATTTTAGCTTTGTCCTTTTTTTTTAAGCCCTGTAAGACATTCTTTAAGCAGTATCTGCATGGATTTACTAGTTTTTTGATTACCATTTTCTTTGTAGTTTTTAAATACAGCAAAATGTGCTGAATAATTATGGCAGAAATTGCAAGATGGAAGACTTAATCTAAAGGCTAAAAAAGTGTTCCTCAAGGAAATGTCATTAAGATGAAACCAAGTTGGGCTTGCTGGGGTAGCCCAGTGGCTAAAGTCCTTGCCTTGCACGTGCCGAGATCCCATATGGGCACCAGATTGTATCCCAGAGGCTCCGTTTCCCATCCAGTTCAGAACTTGTGGCTTGGGAAAGCAGTCGAGGATGGCCCCAGAACTTGGGACTCTGAACCCGTGTGGGAGATCAGGAAGAAGCTCCTGGCTCCTGGCTTTGGATCAGTTCATCTCTGGCTGTTGCGGCTACTTGGGAAATGAATCAGCAGATGGAAGATCTTCCTCTCTGTCTATCCTCCTCTCTGTATATCTGACTTTACATTTAAGAAAGAAAAAAAAAAAAAAGATAAAACCAGGCAAAGCATGAGTGTCCAGTTTGGGGAAGGCCTAGGACCAAGGCAGAGCCTGGAAGTGAGGGAAGGCAGGTGGTTGGGCATGGCTAAGAAAGAGGCGGGATCAGGGTTAAGTGGCTGACATGGCCGAACCTGTGCAAGATCTCATCAGCCATACCAGATCTCTAGATGGCCGTCAGGTTTCATAAAAGGGGAAGGAACTGGAGTGAACTAATCAAACTTAGCAGAACACCATAAGACTTTGGTCAAGGAAGTAGAAATTCTGCTACTGTGTCTGGGTGTGATTAACTGGACACTATGGAACTCAGCTGTCACTTCTGCCATCTTTACTGAAAAGAAGAGAAAGGAATAGCAGGAATTCTGGCCTAGATCTTTACAGAGGAACAAAGAGACTAGAGACTAAGTTATCACTGGGAACTGGCATTTAGGAATCAGCCCTTGGGACACCAATTGGATATTCCTATCTCTTACTGTTCTCTCTCTTGCAGTATATCATTACTTTGTGGATATTATAACTTGGAACAAAAACATCAGAAGAGGGTCCATTACAATCAAGTTGCGAGATGAAGCTGGAAACATCACAGAATCCAAAATCAATCAGTAAGTTGAACTACAATAGTCTGTAGTTTGGAGGAATTAAGCTTCAATTATGCCTGTTTTAGATCTGTACTTCTTGGTCTACAATAGATTTAAGGGCGTATGTTGCTAAGTTGCTTGCCCAGTTGATCTGTCCTCCCAGGCTACTTGTAATTGGATTTGGTGCCAGAGTTTTATTTCTCCTGACCCCCTCCCCGCTTTTCCTTCTTCCTTTTCTCTTACTTCCTTTGATGAAATATTTAATGGTGAGAGTTATTTTGCGTAAAGAATTTACACAATAGAGTAATACGTTGATTTTGTCATTCTACATTAAACACACAAATAAAAACATTAGATTGTACCCCATGAATATAAACAATATGATTAGTCAGTTACCAATAATATTAATCCAAAAACAATAAGAGAATTATGTAACCTGAAAGTACAAGTTTTTGCCCCATCCATTCTCAACAGTCTCACCATAAAGGCCAAATACAGACACACTTCTATTTTTTCGATCTCATAATGCAATATATAAGCAGATATGTAATTTCATGTTTGTATATACGTGAGAGGTCTTCAAAAAGTTCATGGGAGATTTTCATATGATTAAAAATTATGCATGAATTTCAAATTTTTCTTACACCGAATAACTTATCTTTTAGTTCTATTTTCCACAAACTTTTTTTTAAGACTTATTTATTTTTATTGGAAAGCTAGATATACAGAGAGGAGGAGAGACAGAGAGGAAGGTCTTCCCTCCGATGATTCACTCTCCGAGTGACTTCAACAGCTGGAGCTGAGTTGATCCGAAGCCAGGAGCTTCCTCTAGGTCTCCCACGCAGGTGCAGGGTCCCACAGCTTTGGGCCGTCCTTGACTGCTTTCCCAGGCCACATGCAGAGAACTGGATGGAAAGCAGGGCTGCTGGGACAGAACCAGCGCCCATATGGGATCCAGGCATGTTCAAGTCAAGGACTTTAGCTGCTAGGCTACGCCACTGGGCCCTTCTCTTCCATTTTCTGATGGTTTTATAATATATACCACATATGTGTATATATATATATATATACACATTATATCTATATATGTTTATTCCACCATATATATATATGAACCAGCGCCCATATGGGATCCCAGCACTTAGAAGTTGAGGACCTAGCTATTGAGCCATCACACTGGTCCAACACCTATACTTTCAATCACTACATTTTATTGCTACCACTACACTGTATTACTCCCCCAACCCCACCAGAATGGAAATTTGTGAACCGTATATTTAGGGCTTCCTTACAGATCTATTTCAGAACCAATGTTCCCAAATCCATAGTGGGGTAGCATTACAGGGAGGCACTGTTAGCAGTGTCAACTAAGAAGCCAGTCTCAGAACCCAGTGCAATAGCCTAGTGGTTAAAATCCTCACCTTGCATGCCTGGGATCCCATATGGGTGCTTGTTCATATCCCAGCTGCTCTACTTCCCTTCCAGCTCCCAGCTTGTTGGCTGAGAAAACAGTAGAGGATGGCCCAAAGCCTTGGGACCCTGTACCAAAGTGGGAGACCCAGAAGAAGCTCCTGGCTTTGGACTGGCTGAATTCTGGCTGTTGCAGCTATTGTGTAGTGAAGCAGTGGTTGGAAGATCTTTCTCTCTGTCTTTCCTTTATACTGTAAATCTGCCTTCCCAATAAAAATACATAAATCTTCAAAAAAAAAAAAAAAAAAAAGCCAGCCTCCGGCAGCTTATAGGCAGTGACATTCAATGAGGAAGCTGGGACAGACACCTCAGCTAGAGTCACAATTTTAGAATCTGGAGATGCTAAGAAATAACAGGGGACACAGTGTAGTCACAACAGAGAATTCTCACAGAACAAAATGTCAATATTCATGACTATAACTGGCTACATATTTTTTCTACATTCATCTAAGAAGTTTTCATTTTCATAGTCAACTCCCAAGTAGGAAGTCTTGAATGTGGAGATTAACATTTTTAAAAATGCTTATTTATTTTCATCTTCTTGAAAGAGTGGGAGGAAAAGGAGGAAGGGAGAGAGAGTGAGAGAGAGATTTTTCATTCAGAACTCACTCCCCAAATGTCCAAAACAGCCTGGGCTGGGCCAGGCTGAAGTTAGACGCTAGGTCTCTGTCCACATTTTCCATGTGAGTGGAAGGGGCCCAGGCGCTTGACTTCTAGTGCCTTCAATATATACATTAGCAGAAAACTGAGTTGGAAGCAGAGGACCTGAGACTCGAATATGAAATGCAGGCCTCCTAGGCTTAATCTGCTGTGTCACAACACTCACTTGTCAAGACCTTAACATTTTAATGCACAGTCTTATTTAGGCATACTTATGAAAAAGTCACCCCCAATCAGAAGAAAGGAAATTGCTGTTGTTTGGTCAGATTATGGAGACTGTTTTTTTTTTCCCCAAGATTAACACTTTGATATTATTCCTACAGCTTCAGATAAGGTAAATGACATTAGCAAATGCATCTATAGAATTTATTCAGGAAGATGAGTCTGTCCAGGCTGGGAATCAATAGGGTCACAGTCAAGGTTATTATCGGGCTGGTGACTTTCCCTGTATCCATGCATTTTCTTTTTCTTTTTTTAATATTAAAGAATTTAAAATATAACTCACATACCATAACATTTACTCTTCAGGAATTTTTCAGTATATTCGCAAAAATATGCAACCATCACCATCATTTAATTCCAGACCTCCTTCATTTAAAGAAACCTTTATGCATTAGGTGTGATGTCTCATTTTTCATGCATCCTTCAGCAATTATTAATCTATTTTCTCTTTCTGTGGGTTTGCCTAGCCATGTCACGTAAATGGAGCCTTCTACTATGTGGCTTTATTTAGGTTTAATTCAGATTTGATTATGTAGCAATATTGCACTCCTTTTAATGGGCAATTAACACTACATTATACGTATGCAAGGATACTTCAAACAATTTGTGAAAAATTAGGATCAAATAAAAGTTTATTTTGGTGCAAAAAAAATTGGCATCTACATATAATTTTTTCATAGAATGTGTTTTCCAGGAAGTTTTGAAGAGTTTGTGTCTTTATCAGCTGATAGATGTTTAAGTTGTTTCTGCTTTCTGGCTACTAGGAATAATGGCTTTATGAACATATGTTTACAAATCCTTCCATGGGCATATATTTCCATTTCTCTTAGAAATGTATTTAGGAATTGCTGAGTCATACGGTGACTCTATGCTTAACATTTTGAGGAAAACGTTTTCCAAGGCAATTCTACCACTTTACATTCCTACCAGCAGACGACAGCGTTCCAGTTTTCTACATCCTTGCCGATACTCACAAATGTCTCCTTTTAAAAAAAGTCTGTTCCTTTTTATTGCAATAAAATACATATAACATAGTAATCTTCACTATCTAACCCTTCTTTTTGGCATCCAACTCATTGTGTAACACGCTGACCAGAACTTTTTGATCTTACAAGTGTTTCCCCATTCCCACGCTCTAGCAAACACCATTCTACTCTCTTTTTACCAGTTCTGACTACTTTACACAGCTCCTCTAAGTGGGATCATTGTGACTGCTAATTCACTTAGTGTAATGTCCCCAAGTTCATCCATTTTGTAGCCTGTGACAGGATTTTCCTCATTTTCAAGGGTGCATAATGTTCCTCTGTATGTCCATACCACATATTTTATCTATTTATTCATCTGTTGATGGACATTGGAGTTGCTTCTAGCTCTCGGCTACTGCAAATAGAATTGCGATGAACAAGGGTATACAGACATCTCTTCTTCAAGCCTTTGCCTTTTGTTGTTGTTCTTATATATCCAAAAACATTTCTATACCCTATTTTAAAGTTTTTAAATATCCCATACTGCTTTCCTGGGCATTTGCCCTATTTTTCAATCCCACAACACAAGGGTTGCAGTTCTAAGTGCTTGCTGCACATGTCAATAGCCTTCCTGATGGGTGTGTGGTCATTCCGTGACCCTTTGAGCATTTCTGTCACTCTCTGCGGCACTTTCTTACTGGCATACAGGTGCAAGTCTACCTTGTGGGTTCCTGGGGAGGAGGTGCGACTAAAAAGAAATGTGAGGACAGTGCTGTCTTGGGCAACTGACAAAGTTTATTTCCAGGGTTCCAGTTTATACACATTCAATAAAGCAACAGTTCAAACACAGTTCAGCTCAGACATCGGTTACCGTTATCAGGCTTGATATACAGCTAGTGTTACTTGTGTGTAAGCAGGGAGTTCCAGGAGAGCTAACAAGGCACCAGGATCAAAGCACCATCGGTGTGAGATATTGATAAGGAACACTACTTTGACACTTTGATATAGGATAACAGACTAAGCGAGGATGTTCGCCATTTATCAGGGAAGCATGAAAGCACACTCAAGGACTCTGGGGGCAAGAGTGCACTCTGGTGAGAGGCCCTCTGCCTCCTCTTTCCTGGAGCCTCTTCTCAACAGGATCCCACAGGCCTCTGCCATTCCACCAACTATCCTGTTGCATGTTTCCAACAACAGGTTGTTCCAAATTTTACTTCACATTTTCCTCACCTAGCCCTGGAGTTAGCCATTTCTTCCAGCAATCTTGGCTCTTTTTAGCTTTTAGTGGAGATGGTATTTTAAAAACTAAAATCCAGGTATAGGTTAGTTTTGCTTGTGACCTTTCTTCTATACTCCAAAGGTATGAGAGACATGCCTCTGGTGGGGTTGGGATGACACACCTCTTCCTATCCACCCCACCTCCAAAAGTAACAATGCAAGTTTAGAGCAAGCCTATTGTTCCTGATCTTGGGCTCTTCCTGATTGTCCATGATCAACTCTTACCAGCTCTCCAGAAAAAAAAAAAATACCAAGCGAACTGCTCCAGTGATATGTGCTAGACAGGCTCCATTTGGGATTCCAACTGTAGATAACATATCTACAGAGTTGGTGGGAAAGTATTAGAACCTGCATTTATCTATTTTTAAAGATATATATTTTTTGCAAAGTCAGATATATAGAGAGGAGGAGAAAGAAAAAGATCTTCCATCTGCTGTTTTACTCCCCAAGTTACCTCAACGGCTGGAGTTGCATAAATCCAAAGTCAGGAGCCAGGAGCCTCTTCTGGGTCTCCTACACGGGTGCAGGGTCCCAAGGCCTTGGGCTGTCCTTGCCACTTTCCCCTGGGCCACAACAGGGAGCTGGATGGGAAGCAGGGCTGCTGGGATTAGAATCGGCACCCACATGGGATCCCAGGGCGTTCAAGGCAAAGACTTTAGCCGCTAGACCACTGCGCCGGGCCCATTTATCTATTTTAAGGTTCATCTTGAGTAGGACTGAAAACTCATTTCAAGTATAGCTTCTCAATTTGTACCCAGTTTGGATAAAAATATCCACAGAGGCATCTAGCAGTGCAGACTGTGTCTGAGTCCCTGCACTGCTGCATCCAAGCCTTTCACCTGGGGTCTACCACACTGCAGAGATCTGTTTCCTTGTCTAGTGTATAAAGACAGCAATCCCACCTTGCGCCGTGTTTCAGGGCACTGGCAGACTATGAAGAGACAAGGAAGCTGTACCAGTGGCAGTCACTAGCAGCATACCTCTCTAATGCCATGCAGGAGTTAGCAGCTTTACCTATGCAGCCCCATGGGACTCAGCAGTCTTGGCCCATGAAGATCTGCCAGAGCAGACTATGGGATCAAGTGATGCTTCTTTCCTGGGATCTGTCAGCTACAAAACTGTGTTCTTTCATTAACAATCTATAGCCATTTCAACATACATATGATTTCTTCCTTCTAGCGAACCAGCCACATTTCAGAAATATCACCAAGTGAGTCTGCTTGCAAGATTTAATCAAGATTTAGAAAAAGTGGCAGAGATTTCCTTGGTGTTCTCTACAGGATCTGCAATAGGCCCCAAGTACAAGCTCAGGATTCTGCGGATGAAGTTAAGGTCACTTGCCCACCCAGACAGGTGCGTTGAAAGCAGGGTTTGAACAAGCGCTGTTTCGTTGTTTGTTTGTTTTTTTTTTTTAAGATTTATTGCATTTATTTGAAAGGGAAAGTTATAGAGGGAGATATAAGAGCTTTTCCCTCTGCTGGTTCATTCCCCAAAGAATACAAGGGTGGAGGCTGGGCCAGGTTGGAGCCAGGAGCTTCATCCATGTCCCCTATGTGAGTACAGGGCACAAGCAGGGATCTGGATCAGCTGAACTTTTTCACACATTTTTACTGATCATCAAATGAATGCTGTCCACTAAAAAATTATGAAAGGGTAAATATTATGACACAGTGGTTGAAGACACTACTTGAAATGTCAGCATCCCATACGAGAGTGCTAGGTTCAAGCCCCAGTCCTGTTTCTGATTCAGCGTGCTGCTAAGACATCCTGGAAGCTGTAGGTGATGGTTCCAGTACTTGGTTCCTTGCCACCTGTGTGGAAGACCTGGATGAAAGTCTGGGTCCTGGCTTTGGCCTGGCTCAGCCCAGGCTATTGTAGGCATTTGTGAACCATGCATGACAAACATATTTCTGTCTCTGTTGCTCAAATTAATCAAAACAAACACGCACATGAATAAATCTAGAAACTACAGAAAGTTTTGGGAAGCAGGGAAATATCACTATTCGGTCATTACTTACAGGCAAGGACTTTTAATATTTTTGATTTTTTTCTAATTTTTTAATCTAACTGAAATTGGGTGGCAAATAAAATCTTACATCCTGCTTTCTTGTTGGCTGATGTTTTATCAGAAGCCTTTTCCCAGATCATTAGAAGAAACTGCTCATTAGTTTTATATCCTTAGGATACATTATAGCTTACTTAACTGGAGTATGATTCTTTTTGTTATTTTATTGATCAGCACATTTGTTTTTGTTTTCCCAGGCCCCAGCTGTGTCGGTATGATCTGGTCCTGATGGAAAATGTTGAAACGTTCTTCCAACCCATTCTCTGCCAGCAGCAGCAGATGTAACTGTTGTGACACACAGAAACCAGAAACATCAATGCTATTCCAGGCCAGGCCTTCTGAAGGCTTCCTCACCTTTTCGCAAGGCACAAAATGTATTGAAAAACCAAGTTTTTTTTTTCCAGGCATGTCTAAGGATGTCTTGTTACAAAACATCTAACGACCTTGTGATTACAAAACCATCCTGAGAATGGAGCCCCTATCTAGGGCAAGTCAGAAATAGCCAGGCTCCACCAGCCCAGAGCTTTGTCTTGCTGTGTCCTGGGGCCTCCTTTGTTCCAAGCTGTCGGTTCAACGGTCCGTTAGCATCACGCTGTGCATCAAGCATCTTCCAGGGTGAGATGGGCTGCAGATCTCACTGCAGAGTGGACTCCACATCGTCTGCACCAGTCCTTCCAGTCTCTGGCATGTGGAAGGGAATGAAACTGACCTACCTCACAGGGCTGTTGTGTGGGAGGTAAATAGATGAAGGGTTTTTACAATCTCATGGATATCTATGAGATGTTGGATAAATGTGAATGTACTTTTATTTATTTTGACAGGGTAGATCGAGCATACAGGCACAGGGTACCTCTGCTTTCCAAGACGGGCTTCTCTTTCAGGCTGTTGGCTCTGGGAAGGCAAAAAAGGCACACTCCGGGCCACCTGTCTTCTCTGCGATGTGCAGGTGCATAGCAGAGGAGGGGACAGGCAGCCCAGACGGCAGTTGCAAGAATGAGTAATGAGGATGCAAGGGAAGATGGGTGTGGGGAGCACAGGGGCAGCTTCCCAGCCAGTGACAGCACATGGAGCAAGGGGAGAAGAGAAAAACATGGGACTGTTTTATAGGCAACCCTCATTTTATACAATCCTTAAGACATTCTTAACTTCCTTATATCAATGTAATCTATGATTACTGAGTGAAATTTAGAAAATACATAGATGCCTAATCAAAGAAATACTGTGTATAATCCTACCTGTTAGGTGTGGTTACCATGACCTTTTGGAATAGTGCTGCGACTCCTTTTGCTGACAGGCAGATTCAAAGCATAAGCCACTTCGTTCTTCCAGCATGAGGAATGCTCCGGCTTCTGCTGGAGGTAGATGCGGCCATGAATCTGGAATGACAATAGTAGCCAAGTCAAGACATCCCAGGATACCAAGGACACAAAGGACAGAGTAACGTGATGATGGCAGTTGGGCCAGGCACCCAGCCTGAGGATGGCTTCCATCCATGCCACACCTGTGGCCTCTGCAGGAAGGTCTCTGGAATTCCTGAGTGTTACAGGTCCAGTAACCTCATCAAAGCAACTCCTTTGCTACTGCTTCCTGTGAAATCTGCTCTTGTAAAGAAATGGACTATATTTTCTAAATTATGAAAATGTGTAAATCTATTCCTGCCTGACACACCTTCTGATGGATTACATATTTATTGAATACAGAGTCTATTTTATTGAAATGGTAGTCTGTGACTGAACTATCAGTGGAATAAGACACTCTTGGCCACATGAACATCTTATTTTTGCTCCTTTTTGCCATGTTTCCTCAGCAGTTGTGGGTGGGGAGATCAGTGGCTTATTAGCTTTAATTTTATTCTGAGGGGAGCAACTTAGTAACGAAGAAGGTTTTTTTCAGCTTATGGTTTTGGGGTTCACAGTCAAAGATCACAGACTCATTGGTTCAGGCTTCTGGTGAGGCCAGGTATTAGCAGTGGATGATGTCATGGCTAGCCAGCAAGCAGAGGAAGAGCCAGGCTGTACGTAGTTTAAGTAACCAATCTCACGAGTACTACCTTCCAAGGGCATGTCCCAGTGACCTAAAGACCTCCTACCCTTTGGACGTCATCATGGATCACATTTCCACCCTTCAACCATTGACTGTTAACATAAGAATTGGCAGTTCAAACAGCTGCCTAGGTTTGAGGAACCCTATTCCTGTTGAGATTACACCAAATGGGCCAAAAAGACTCTAGTTTTTGTTTTGTTTTTAATACTTCCTGGGTCCTATATTGTGATTAACTTAGTCACTGTGTCCTTTCTTTCTTGGTTGGTAAGCAGGAGGTCAAAACAATGATGAGAAAATTCCAGGAACAGAATTTCTATCTATTTACAAACTTTCTGGGCCAGTGGGTCTCCCAGCACAGTACCTGGCTCATGGAGGTTGAGTAAGTGACTGTGAGAGAGGTAGGTGAAAGATGAGTGGTTGGATAAGTGGATGATGGATGGATGGAAGAATGAATGAGTGAAGAGATGAATAGGAAAAAGGAAAGAGGAAGTCTACTCACTGGAATGGAGAGGAATTTCAATGCACTTTTTTTTTTCAATTTTCATTGGGAAGGCAGATTTGTTTCACAGAGAGGAGACAGATAAAGATCCTTCATCTGCTTGTTGACTCCTCAAATGGCTGCCATGGATGAATCTTAGCCAATAGAAAGCCAGGAACCAGGAACTTCTGTGTTTGCCAGACAAGTACAAGTTTCCAAGATTTTGGGACATCTTCCCCTGCTTGCCCAGGTCACAAGCAGGGAACTGGATCAGAAGTGGAACAGGTGGGGTCCTGGCATGGTGACTCAGTGGCCTGTACATGCAGGGGTTTCATGTGGGCGCCAGGACATGAATTTCTCCACTTTCCATCCAGCTCCCTGTTTGTGGCCTTGGAAAGAAGTAGAGGATAGGTCAAAGCTTCAGGACCCTGTACCCACATGGGAGACCTAGAAGAAGCCCCTGTCTCCTGGATTTCAATCAGCTCAGCTCCAGCGGTTGTGGCCACTTGAGCAAGTGGATGGAGATCTTTCTCTGTATTTCCTTCTTTCTGTAAATCTGCCTTCCCAATAAAAATAAATCTTTAAAAAGAATAAGAAGAAGTAGAACAGCCTGTACACAAACTGATGCCCATATCAGATGATGTCAATTTCAGATGGAGGATTAGCTAATTGACTACAGTGCTGACCTCTCAATGCATTCTTATATCACTGATCAGGAGAAATGAAATCAACTACAGGTGTCACTACTGGCTTCTTCAGAAGCCTCTGGAACTTTTGACTCCTCTTGCTGTCCTTGCCTCAACTCCCCTTTTCAGTGTGTCTGTGTGGAAAATCCAAAAACACAAGAATTGTCTACCCTCACCGATTACCTCTCATTTATCATTTGGGTCTTGGCCCAACTGCCACTTCACTCTTCTCAGACCTCATTTCCACTTGCAGCACACTGTACCTTTTCTTCACAGCACTTTAGAAAAATATATTTATTCATGAGTTTGCTTGGATCAACGTCTATCTTCACTAGACTTCCACACACCTATAACACAGTTTGCATTCAGGAACTATTTCTTAAATGAATACTCCACTATCTTCTGAGTCCATGGAGCCATGTTCATCTGTGACTAAAGACCTCTGCTTCAGAGCCAGCACTGTGGCGTAGTAAGCCACTACCTGAAATGCCAGCATCCCATCTTGGTGCCAGCTGGAGCCCTGTCTGCCCCATTTCAGATCCAGTTCTCTGCTAATACACCTAGAAAAGCAGTAGAAGGTGGCCCAGTGACTGGACCTGAACATGCATGTGGGAGGCCCAGAAGAAGCCTCTGGGTCCTGGTTTCATCGTGGACCAGCCCTGATCACCGCAGCCATTTTATGAGTGATTCAGCAGACGTAAGACACCTCTCTTTTTGTAATCCTGCCTTTCAAACAGATGAAATAAACTTTTAAAAGTAAGAAAGACTGCTCCCCCTAGCCACAGCCCATTCCTAAACCTTCTTGCAGATGCCTGGTTAGTATCATCTCTGGAGACCAACTGTTCATTTCCTACCTTCTTTGGAGAGAAAGAGTCCTTTTTCTTCTATGTCACATCTTCCAGGTGTTCTTAATACCACTCCTCAGCAAGCCCGTCTGTCCTGAAGTCTACGTGGTTCTGTTCCCTTCCTCCTCCTCCATTTTAGCACCACTGCTAAATACTCCAAGGTCTTCCTTGATTATGAGCTAATGTCCCTGAGCTACAGTTCAGAGTCTTCCCCTGTCTGCCTGTCCACAAATCACCCTTTCTCCATTTGTCATTGACTGCACATGCTCCCATCACTGCCTTTACTGTACCATACTGTGATGTCCATCTGGCTATAATGCCTCCAAGACTGTAGGCTCCACAACAGTAGCTGCCATTTGCCTCCATAGTACCTAGCACAATGCCAGACACTAAGGAGGTGTTCAGTAAGGGTCTGGTTATTAGAATGGAATGAGCTTGTGCATAAGGACTACTTCATCACGACGAACTGTTTCAAAACCTTGTACCTAGAACTTCCTACCCTGGGAACCCTGTCCCATGCAGGGTTCCTGCAGAACTCCAAGTTAGCTAAGGCAGCTTTGGTTGCTCGGGACAGAAATCCACTCACACTAACCCAAGTGTTTTTTTTTTTTAATATATATAGTTTTTTAAATTAGAAAGACAGATATAGAGAGAGGAGGAGAGCAGAGAGGAAGATCTTCTGTCTGATGATTCACTCCCCAAGTGACCTCAATAACCAGAGCTGAGCCAATCCAATGCCAGGAGCCAGGAACTTCTTCCAGGTTTCCACACAGGTGCAGGGTCCCAAGGCTTGCACCATCCTCAAAAGCTTTCCCAGGCCACAAGCAGGGAGCTGGATGGGAAGCAGGGCTGCTGGGATATGAACCAGTGCCCATATGGGATCCTGGCACATTCAAGGTAAGGACTTTGACCACTGGGCTATCATGCGAGGGACCAGTTTTTTGTTTTTTTTGTGTTTATTTTTTTTTAATGCTTAAATGATTGTTCAAGTCCTTTTTCCTTTTTTTTTTTTAATTGGAAAAACAGATTTACAGAGAAGAGATAAAAAGGTTTTTCATTCCATGGCCCATTCCCCAGGTGGCCACACAGCCAGAGCTAAGCTGATCTGAAGCTAGGAGCCGGAACCTTTCTCTGGATTTTCCATGCAGGTCCAAAGTCCCAGTGCCTTGAGCCATCCTCTACTGCCTTCCCAGGCCACAAGCAGAGATCTGGATGGGAAGTAGAGCAGCTGGTACACAAAAAAGCACTCACATGGTATCTCGGTTGCAACACAAGGATTTAGCCACCTAAATCCACGCACCAGGCCCCTCAACTCAAGTTTTATAGGAGGATGTGACAAGGTTAGCGATAGTGGGGCGACCTGGAACCTCCTTCAAGAACTCCTGGGCTTCCACTAATGCCAATGTTCTGCTAGGATCCCGCTGGCTAAGCTGGGCTTCCCTCTATAAAGCAGCATCACTGGTCTCTATTGACTAGCTGACCCAATCCCAAACTCCAAGCTGAGGAAAAAGCTTGCTTCCTCATGAGGAAGCTGCTGACCCTGTTCCAATCAGTCTTGTAGTTGTAGGGAAGCAAAACGGTGTGGTCCTCAGAGCTCCTCCCTTCAGCTGCTCTGGGCAGGTCTGATTAAGCCAGAAATGCCTGAGAGTTATAGACAAGACCCATGGTGAATGCGTAGCTAATTCACTCACCATTTCCTGAGTCCTTGCCACCTGCCTCTTTCCCATCCAGCAGGTATTGTAGTGAAGGGTGGCAGTTGTCCTTTGTCAGACTGTGTAAGATGTGTTACGACTGAACTAAGTAGAGGCTGGTTGCCTGTAGGGGTGCAGTGGTAGGTTAGCATTGGTTCTGCAGGTGCCATGGAGAAGTGATTCAAAAGAATCGGGGAGACTAAATCAAGATGGGGGGTGGGCAGAATAGTCAGGGCTTCTTCCCTAAACTGACATAACTCCACCACTTCATTGTGACCCAATGACATGACCCTAGGATTTCTCCATGAACTCTGACAATATACATCAGTTCTTACCCTTTTTAAACAGACTTATTTATTTTTACTGGAAAGTCAGATTTATAGAGGAGAGACAGATAGAAAGATCCTCTATCAGCTGATTTCACTCCCCAAATGGACACAATGACATCCATTGAGCTAAGCTGATCTGAAGCCAGGAGTCAGGAGCCTCCTGTAGACCTCCTATGTATGTGTAGGGTCCTAAGGCTTTGGGTTGTTCACTGCTCTCCTATGCCACAAACAGGAAGCTGGATGGGAAGTGGAGCAGCCAGAACATGAACAAGTAGAAAGCAGTAGAGGATGGGCCAAGTCTTTGGGACTCTGTACCTGGAAGCTCAGAAGAAGCTCCTAGCTTTTGGTTTCAGACTGGCCAGCTCTAGCTTCTGCGGTCATTTCAGGAGTAAAACAACCAGCATTTGGAAGAGCTTTCTCTCCATAAATCTGCCTTTCCAATAAAGAAATATAAATAAATTTAATAAACATTTAAAAAATGTAATTTTTAATTTATTTGGAAGACAGTGACGAGGTAGGGGGAGAGAGTCTTCCATCTGCTGATTTAATCCCCAATGGTCTCAATAGCCAAGGCCTGGTCAAGCTTAAGTCAGGAATCAAGAACTCCCTCCGGGTCTCCCACATGGGTAGCACAGGCCCAGATACTTGGTCCATCTTCTGGTTTTCCAGGAGCATTAGCAGGGAGCTGAATCAGAAGTGGAATAGCCAGTACTAGAACCAGCACTCTGATATGGAAAGCCAGTGGTGCAAGCAGAGGCTTACTCACTGTGTTACTACAGCTCTACAGCTCATTTTCTCATAGTCTCCCTTGGGATTTTAAGACAGTTTTTTTCTTTTTGCTTTATATCCAGCATTGTTCTACCAGATATTCTTTCACTGATTCCATTACTTACTTAAGTTCCTGATCTTTTTCTTCCTATTCTCTTTTCTCAAAAAAGTTGTGCATGGTAGATAATTAGGCTTTTTTTTTTTTTTTTTTTTTTTTTTTTTTTTACTGTGGCCACTAAATGCATGGCTTCTCCTATTCAATTCTTCCCAACTTTAGTTTTCTGGCCTACAAAGTTGATTGCCATATGAAATAATTAGTAGATATAAAACACATACTATGGGGTCTGAACGATGTTAAGAACTCCAGTAATATCAGCTGCTATTACTTCCTTCTCTCTTGGTGTCCCTAGGAGATCCTCCCCAATCCTCACGCCAATTGTGTCTTTTGGACAAGTGATCTCCAAATCTGAACACGGCAGTCACACAGCAGACAAGGGTCTGTGTCCCTTTCCGTACTCAGAGTGGTCTTTGCACAAGCGGCTTCATCAGAATATCTATACATCTGGTCATGGAAAAGTGGGATAGTACTTGTTTCACTGGGGTAGAACAAGCTCCACCATGTCTACATCCTCCATGGAACTTGTCATGCTCTGTAATGTTTCTGTCTCCAGCTCCTTCCCAACCAGAGGGCAGGGAAGTTGGTCCCTGAGAGCTGGCGTCCTGCCTTCTCGTTCCCTATTCCAGACCTGCACTAGCACTCTCCTGGTCCAGACTCAGAGATGTGGTTCCTCACTCACCATCCCTCCAAAATCCTTTGACCTCTAAAAGACAACATTACAAAACCAAACAAGTCATTTTATTCACTAGATTTGATCCATTCATTTCACAGTTATTATTAAGTGCAAACTGCAAGATAAACAGAGGGTTTAGCGTTGGGATAGACAAAAGATAGAAGAAACATTGTCTCTGTTACGGGAATGTTCACAGTCTACTTGGCAGACACTGGAGCATGTATTTGCAACAAATCCTGGGGGGCCTGAAGCACAGAGAGGGTATCTTTTACAAAAAAACACCCTATGTCTATTTATTTGAAAGAGAGAGAGGAACAGAGAGATATACATCCTTCATCTCCTGGTCCACTTCACCAAATGGCTGGGCCAAACTGCAGCCAGAAGGCTGGCACTTCCCCCAGGTCTCCCAGGCACTCGGGCCGGGCCATCAGGCACAGCAGCAGGGAGCTGGATCAGAAGTGGAGCAGTCGGGTCTTGAACTGGTACAGATATTGGATGCCAGCAAAACAGACAGTGGCTATGCCATAAAAGAGGTGTTTTTTCTGTCACAACTAGAGAAGGCTTCTCAAGAAAGGTGACGATGGTCCTGTGTGTTGATTGAAGACTAGGAATTTGTCAGGCACAGGAGCCTGCCAGAATAAGGGCAGAGTAGTGTCGAATGTACAAATAAGCACAGCGTGTATTCAGCTGGAATGGAGTCTGCAACAACCTCTCTCCAAGCTATTAAACTGAGATTTTAAATTGAAATGCATCTGACGAAGTCCAGCTGTCCTTCACCTGGGTTCACAATGATGACCTCACAGCCAATCTTGTTCCATCTATACCCTTACCCACTAAACCCTGGTCCCATTCTTCATTCTGACTCAAATGCCAGACTTTGAATAATTTCTTTCAGGAACATTTCAATGTTTTGAAAAGATATCCTTTTTTTTTCTTCTTAAAAAAGTGTTATAGTAGACTCTCTAACACTGCAAGTTGCTTATTTGATTTTTACCCTAGCTATCAATCTGGCAACTGTGCTATGTCAGGATATTTAAAATTGCCTCCTACTTTTAGGAAACCACCTAATACTTCGCTTTTGAATAGACTCTAATCAGCGTAGCACTCTGTACATGACGGATTTAGGTTGTTCTCAATCTCTCAGTACCCAAGCAAAGCTGAACATCTTTGTTCCCCTATAGGCATTATTCCAGGTTTAAATTCTTGGGTATGGAATCATTATAATGTTGTATACCTGCATGGTGCCCAGTGCCCCCGATGTGGCCCTGGAGGTGCTGGGAATCACGTGACAAAGACACGTTCTGCTTTGGCACTTAGAGATTCTCCCTGGCCCATCATCCAATTAAGCACTTCCCTTGGGAATCAATTCAGCTCCTCCCCACACCAGGCAGCCCATCTTCCTCTCTTCTTTCCCACTGCTTTGGTCCTGACTCTGTCCCATCCCTTTTCTCATGGGGATGGTTGCAACTCTTAAACTCCTCTGCTGGCGGCTCACCAACAACATAAAAAAAAAATCCAACTCCTTGGCCTGCCTTTCAGGGCTGTCTGTCGTGTGCTCGGCTTCTCCGTCGTTTCTCACATCTTGGGCTCCTCTGAAACCGGCCTCTGGTGCCTCACCTGGGCCTCCTGTGCTGCTAGAGGTCCTAGTCGCTCACACTCCACCCCCCTGGACCACGGTGTGAGGACCACTAGTTTTGGACTCAGCTTGACTAGGAATCTTTCCCTGGCTCTCTTGGGAGTAGGGAGTATCCGTTAGCCTTCCTGACACATCCATGTTTTTCTTTTTTTCCATCTGTTAAAAACAAAAATACCCACCTTGTAGGATAGTTGTGCAGAACTGTGTTAGGAAAAGCCCATCCTAATCTTTTTCCGCGTCTGCTATGACTGTCGCATCGCCCTGGACCGGAGTCCCTGGTTCCACACACGCTACATCTGCTTTGTGAGGCAGCAGGTCGTGGCCCCGGCGGCCAGCAGCCCTGGCCGGAAAACTCGCTGTGGGCAGCGGCCTCTCCACACAGCCGTCTCCTCCCGGTGCGGCGGGTCCTCGAGGCCTGCTCTGTCCCGGGAGCGACGCCAAGGGCGGGAAAGCAGGCCGACAGCGCGAGGCCGCCCGAGGCCCAGGGCGCAGTGACGCCGTGGCGCGCGGGGCGGGGCCTCGCGGGGGGCGGGGCGAAGGGGAGCCCCGCCCCTGTCCGTCGGCCAACGCGCTCCGCCCGCTCGGTCCGCAAGCGGCGCGGCTCCGGCGCGGCAGCTGCTACGCGTCTGTATCGCCCGGCTGGCGGCTGTATCGCCCGGCTGGCGGCTGCGGCGCCGACATGCGCCCGCTGCTCGGCCTCCTCCTGGTCTTCGCCGCCTGCACCTTCGCCCTGTACTTGCTGTCGACGCGGCTGCCGCGCGCGCCGAGCCGGGGCTCCGCGGAGGAGGCGGAAGGCAGGTGCGTGATCCGGTTGCCCTTGGTCGAGGTGCGGGTCCGCGGGAGGATCCGCGTGGGTGGACGGAGATTCGGGGTGGCGGCTGGTGTGGGCTCTGGGTTTCTGGCCGTGGAAGGGGTGGGAGCCCGGCCGGGGCCCCGGGACTACGGGGGCGGGGCCGGGCTGCGCGTCGGGTGGGCTGCGCGGTGCCTTTGAGGCGGTTTGTGGGGGGAGACGCGGGGTCCTTCCCGGGAGCCCGCAGTGCGCCCCTGACCCCAGGCCGTCCCCCGCGGACGGGACCCTCACAGCCGCTCAGGCTCCCTCTCGTCCGCCCCAGCCCGCGTGGCGTTGGGATTTAATGGACATGAGCGTTTCCAGAAGTCGCGATGGGTCCTACCCCCTCTTCCTGGCAGGCCACGGGACAGGCCATACCGACCTGGCCGGTTCTCACTGAGCGCCGCGTGTGTGTGTGGGAGTGTATATGTGTGTGTGCGTCTGGCTCGGGGCATTTCCTGGCATTTACCCACTGGGACTATGTGCGCTTGTCTGTATTCCTCTGCCGTCGCGTGTGGATCAGCATGCCTCCTGAGAGAGAGGTGTGTGTGTGGGGAGGGTCGGTGCGGGGAGTTCACCCTCTGTTTCGCTGGCAGAGAATAGGCGACCTTTACTCTGTAACCCTTGCACGGGATTCAGAGATTACTGAGCCCCAGATGAGGAGGGTGAACAAGCCGGCTCTCTGAGTGAGCTGGGTTTCCAGCCTGAAGCATTGTCAAGAAATTGCGTTTATCGTGTGGGATAGAGATCTTTTCCCAGAAAATCTGCCAGTCGCTTGTTAGTGAATGATAAAATCTAGTACGGAGACAGCCAAGTGAGGTCTTGTTCTTGGTTTGCAGGGCAGAGTGTATACCCCTGAGAGGAAGCCCAAAGGAAGGGACTTGGTGTACTTGCCTGGAAAGTATCCATTTGCCTCTTAAAATCGATCCTAATATCCAAGAGCTGAAGGGGAATTTGGTCATCACCCAATACCAGATTCTTATTTTACTATTATTTTTGAAGGACTTGCTTTTGTTTGAAATGCAGTTAGAGGGTGAGACTGAGATTTTCAGTTTCCTGGTTCACCCCCTCACATGGTGAAGCCAGGAGTCCAGAGCTTTCTCTGGTTCTCTCACGTGGGTGGCAGGGGCCCAAACATTGGGACTATCTTCCACTGCTTTCCCAAGAGCATTCGCATGGAGCTAGAGTGAAAGTGGAGCAGCTGGGGCTCAAATCTGTGCTCACATGGGATATACCATATGCACTGGATTCCCATTTTATTTTTTTATTTTTTTAAAAAGACTTATTTACTTGGAGGAGTTGCAGTGAGAGATGCAGAAAATCTTTCAGCTGCTGGTTCACTCTAAATGGCTGCAGTGGCCAGAGCCAGGATGGTCCAAAAGCCTGGGAGCCAGAAACTTCTTTTAGGTCCCCTGTGTGAGTGCAAGGTCCCAAGGACTTGGGCCATCCTCTGCTGCTTTCCCAGGCTATCAGCAGGGAGCTGAAGCAGAAGTGGAGCAGCCAGGACTCAAACCAGTGCCCATTTGGGATGCTGGCACCATGGGTGATGGCTTAGCCTGCTATACCATGATGCTCCCCTTCTCCCTGTCCCCAATCTCTGATTTTATGTTGAGGCCCAGGGACTAGGCCAGGGTCCCACAACTGCAAAGTAGTGGAGTTGGGATGCCAACCCAGGTCTGTTGCTTCCAAACTCTTGGTCTGCCCTTGCTGTGTTATGTGAGTCACCTGTCATCACTTGCTCACATTGTGCGTGTGTGTGTGTGCACACCCGTGTGTGTGTGTGTGCGCGCGCGCGCTCAGCAGAACCCTCTGTGGGAAGCAGCCCTAGTGAGGAGCTTTCTCAGGGACTCACCTGATGGAGCTTCCTCTTTTTATCCACATTTAAAAAAAAATTATTTTGACAGTCTTAGTTGATTAGGGCACAAAGGTTCAGGACGGTGGGTAACACTATTGTTTCCACATTATTACTTTTTTTGAATCTGGGGCAAAGGGGGAGATAAAAGGAGAAGCCCCACCCAGCCCAGGTCCCTGATGTGGGGTATGCTCCGAGGGTCTTGCTCAAGTGATTTTGATAATTCAACAGTTCTGAATTGCTGCCTATCTTGCCATTCCAAGCATGATGAAATCGCTGCAGAATCCACTGGCTGACATAGTCCACCTTAACTCCATTTGCCCAGATGCTCACTGCCAACACATGGCTCGGGTAGATATCGATTTGTTCTCTCCTCCTTCTTCTGTTGTGGTAGCAGGTGTTCTTTGCAGTTTCTGATGGACTGCCATGTCCTCCATGTGCAGCTGGGTATGCTGTCCACTCTGTGTCTGAGCCTCTGAGGAAGCTAAGCTTTGACACTTGCACTCCTTGGTCAGACCGTGGAACCTGCACTTCTCTTCATGGTTGGGGTTCTGAGTTCGGCAGTTCAGTTGGGGAGATCCCCAAAGAAACTTTGTCTGAGGTGATCCCAGACCAGATTCTTGTATGTGCTAGCAAGTACAGGGTCTGGCACAGTCCATCACCCCAATCAGCTGGTGATTGCAATTGCTGGATCAGTTCTGTTTCCAGACCTGTCTTCCACTCGAACCAATGGGTGTTGCAGTCCAGCCTGATTCTGCCCAGCACACACTTTGCTCTCACACAAACCAGTGGGAGCTGCAGCCTAGTTGGAGCAACCCTCAATAACCCCCACCAGATCCTCCCCCTGTCCTGGTTCCCGTGCTTGCCAGCATGTACAGCAGACTAGTCCAGTCTGTCCTACATCCCATTCAGTTTTCCTACATGTCAGTGGGCACTGAAACATAGTTCAACCCACCCAGGCCCACTGTCCAGCCCACACACATGCTGGTGGGTACCATTCTGTCCAGCCAGGTCTGCCCCTGTCCTGGTTTTTATGCTCTCCAGTGGGAGTGATAACCCAAGAAGGAGGTGTCCACTATTTCCCTCCTTGGCCCACACCTGGATCGTGCACTTTCCAAATGGTTCTACAGTTCAACTTGATGGAATTAACCTCGGTGCCAGCATCTGCCATTTGATTTTCATCCACTTTTCCAAATCCCCAGGTCGCTGTGGTTCCCGTCTGACCTGGCTGAGCTGCGGGAGCTCTCTGAGGTTCTTCGCGAGTACCGGAAGGAACACCAGGCCTACGTGTTCCTGCTCTTCTGCAGCGCCTACCTCTATAAGCAGGCCTTTGCCATCCCTGGCTCCAGCTTCCTGGTCAGTGCCCCTGTACGCCTCCATACCCCTTGCTGACCTGGAAAGTGCAGACCCCTCACCCTGCAGTTGAGTGAGGGAGAAGATGTTTTGATGCAGAGGTGCTGACCTGCAGTGGCCTTCGGTACTACCTGCTGGTTCTGTAACAGAGCAGGGAACACTACAGCTTCCTTTTGTCCCACTACTGTCTCCTGCCCTGCCTCTTTGCTGTGTCCTAGCAGCAGTCTGGATCTGCCTGAGCATTTTGTTGAGTGGAAACTGGAAGAAAAGCAGACAAGGCTGGGAGAGGCAGGAAAAGTGGGTTGTGCTGTCGATTCAGACATTACCTGCTTGGGGTTGCCCCTGTGTCTGTTGTCCCCCTTCAGGGGAATAGGACCCACTGCTTCTCAGAGGAGTCCTGTGCACAAGCCTGCGTGTGCAACCCAGTTCTGCTGGGATGCTGGCCATGAGACCTTCTTTCATGAGGAGAACAGTAAGGGTAATAGCAGGCACAGGGGTGTAGTAAGGATTATGGAAGACGTGTAGTCAAGCACTTGGCACATGGTGGGTATTGTGCAGGTTCCTACCACAACAGCTGGAGGTGGGTCAGGTTGAAGCCAGGAACTGGAAACTCAGTCCAGATCTGCCATGTGGGTTGCAGGGATCCAAGAATTTCAAGGAAAAGCTGCGACTTTTCCTTCAGCTCCTTCAAATGGGGGTTGGGTTCTGGCTGGGTGAAAACCACAGGAGGTGGGAAGGTTGTAGGCTGTGGGATGAAGCGGCTGGAAGGTAGCAGGATGACTCCTGGCTGAGTTTGTTTTCTTGGCAGAATGTGTTAGCTGGTGCCTTGTTTGGACCATGGCTGGGCCTCTTGCTGTGCTGTGTGTTGACCTCCGTGGGCGCCACGTGCTGCTACCTGCTCTCCAGCATTTTTGGCAAACAGCTGGTGGTCTCCTACTTCCCTGATAAAGTGGCCCTGCTGCAGAGGAAGGTAAGGACAGTGGGCACATCTGAGGATCACCCTATGGCCCCGAAAGGAATGAGGACCAAGGTCTCCCACAGTGCTCTACTCTGCCGGGGTTCCACGGGGGTGTAGGGTCCCAAGGTTTGGTCCATCCTCGACTGCTTTCCCAGGCCACAAGCAGGGAGCTGGATGGGAATTGGAGCAGCGGGACATGAACCAGCGCCCATATGGGATCTCAGTGTCAGTGCTTGTAGGCAGAGGATTAGCCAGTTGAGCTATCGTACCAGTTTTTAGTTCAGTACCTACATAGTGCTTCCTTGGCGAGGGTTGTTGGCAGAGCTGGGAAGGGAAGATGTAAAATGTCTAGTGTGGTATCAGCACCAGCAAGTTTTCAGTCCCTGGGGACCCTTTCTGCGTCTTCACAGCCTTGTGTTCTTTACCCACAGGTAGAAGAGAACCGAAACAGCTTGTTTTTCTTCTTGCTGTTTTTGAGACTTTTCCCCATGACGCCAAACTGGTTCTTGAACCTCTCGGCCCCAATTCTGAACATCCCCATTGTGCAGTTCTTCCTGTCGGTTCTTATGGGTAAGATGCTGGTGTGGGGATCTGGAGTGTGCAGAGCCGAGCCATTGGGGGTGCTGCCTGTGCATCAGCCACCGGGACACATGCTGCCTCTGAGAACACAACGCAGGCTCGCAAGGGGCACCTTGGGGCCTTGTGACCTAAAGTAAAGCCTTATGACTCATGTTTGACATGAAAATACCCCTGGGATAAGTGAAGATTGTTACCGCAGTAATTCATGCCGGTTTTGGTGCCACACACCTGCCTGGCACCTAGGTTAGAAGAGACAGTCGGTATAAAGCCCACAGCTGGGCCATAGTAAGTGCTCATCAAGTGCTGGCAGGAGGAGCAGGGCTGGCGGGAGGCTAGGAGGCCGTGAGTCTTGGATGGGTACTGAAAGGAGCAGAGCCAGGAACCTCCTGTGTGGCCTTGGCCCCTGTTTTGATTAGGCTGTGACTTAGGAACAGCTGACACCTTGTGGCAATGGCATGATCAGCAGCGAGCTAGAGGCTGAGTAGAGCAGTTTCTCAAAATGTGGGCCTTGGGCTGCCTTTGCCAACCTGGCAGCAAGGTCAGGGTCTTGCTGAGAATCTGGATTCTGGGGCCTGCTCCACACCTCCTGAATCACAATCTTGGGGGTGGGATCTGAGAGTGCATTTTTTAATTAAATGCTTAGATAGTTAAAAACTGTGCTGTTAAAAATGGCACAGGCGGGCCCGGTGCCGTGGCATAGCAACTAAAGTTCTCATCCTGAACACGCTAGGATCCCATATGAGCCCCCGTTCTAATCCTGGCAGCTACACATCCCATCCAGCTCCCTGCTTGTGGCCTGGGAAAGCAGTCAAGGATGGCCCAAACCTTGGGACCCTGCACCCATGTAGGAGACCTGGAGGAAGTTCCTGGCTCCTGGCTTTGGATCAGCACAGCACCGGCTGTTGAGGTCACTTGGGGAGTGAATCATCAGACAGAAGTTCTTCCTCTCTGTCTCTCCTCCTCTATATATCTGACTTTGCAATAAAAAATAAATAAATCTTAAAAGAAAACACACACACACACAGAGGGACTTTTAGCAACTCCTATGTTAGGGCCACATAATGCATCAACAAATCATCATCTCTGGCTGGGACTTGCAGGCCACACAGGTATTTAGCTCTTAGTTCCCAGAAGGGGTTCTGCTGGAAGCAAGAACTGGCAGGGCACCCAGATGACTTCCAAAATCTCTCCTTGCCTTGGATAAGTAAACAGCCTTCAGAAAGTCAGTTAGCCTCAGTGGGCCTCTCGGCCAGAGAGCCTGCAAGCACAGCACTGTTTCTCAAAACCTGGGCCTTGGAGTGCCTTTGACAGATGCTATGGTGCTAGCATCTGTTAACACTGGTGACGATTTGTGTTAGAAGTAAAACACCCTCTTCTTTAGGCCTACAGCAAGGATCACCTTTTAACCCTTCCTTAAAGCCTGGAGGGAAAGACATTCCAGGCTTCTAGGTCAGGGATAAATCCCTGGCTGCGTAGCTGCTATTAATAGGGAATGCCTGAGAGATGGAGAATTTAAATCGAAGCAAGATCTACCGCAGCCACTTCTGATCCTATCCTCTTGCAGACAAAGTGCCTCTGCCCCTTGATTAATTAATGGGCGCTAACAGCTTGAGGCTTGGGGAGACTCCAGAGACTGCGGGCTGCCAGGCTGTGTGACCTTGAGCGCTCTGTGTCTGTCACCTTTTACAGTCTTCCTCTGCTACAAAAAGATGCATTATTAGGGATCTTAGCCTATTAGAGACTCAGGGGTAGGTTTGGGGAGAGGCCTTTAAAATTACCGCAGTTCCTGGGCTCTGCTCAAACCCAGCTAACCAGAATCTCTGGGATAGAGCTTGAGAATGTGTTTACACCAAGGGACTGTCAACAGAATTCAAAGTAGTGCTTTTAAGAAATTTTAAACATTTTTTTCATACTGTAAATCTCAAATGGTGCTTTTCTGTGTACTTTGGCTATTTAGTTTTCAAAACCAGATTTGGAGCTCACATTTAGCAAATGAGTGAATTTTTTTTTTTTTTTTTACAAACAGTCTTTTTTTTTTTAAGATTTATTTGTTTATTGGAAAGTCAGATATACAGAGAGGAGGAAAGACAGAGAGGAAGATCTTACATCTGATGAGTCACTCCCCAAGTGAGCGTAACAGCCGGTGCTATGCTGATCCAAAGCCAGGAGCCAGGAACTTCTTCCGGGTATCCCACACTGGTGCAGGGTCCCAAAGCTTTGGGTCATCCTTGACTGCCTTCCCAGGCCACAAGCAGGGAGCTGGATGGGAAGTGGAGCTGCTGGGATTAGAACCGGTGCCCATATGGGATCCCGGCACGTTCAAGGTGAGGACTTCAGCCACTAGGCCACGGCGCCGGGCCCAATGAGTGAATCCTGTATGTTTTTGTACTTACTGCGCTCTGTGGCTTATCTTAGTTTTCTGCACAACTTTGTTTTTTCCTCTTAAGAAAAAATTTATGGCCCGGCAGTAGTGTGATGGTTAAGGCCTCACCTTGCATGTCCGGGATCCCATATGGGTGCTGGTTCTAATCCCGGCAGCCCAGCTTCCCATCCAGCTCTCTGCTTGTGGCCTGGGAAAGCAGTTGAGGATGGCCCAAGGCTTTGGGACACTACACCAGCCTGGGAGACCTGGAAGAGGCTCCTGGCTCCTGGCTTTGGATAGGCTCAGCTCCAGCTGTTGCGGCCACTTAGGGAGTGAACCATCGGACGGAAGATGTTTCTATCTGTCTCTCCTCCTCTCTGTGTATCTAACTTTGCAATAAAACTAAAATAAGTCTTTTTTAAAAAAAAGAAAAAAATTTGAAAAGATTTATTTATTCATTCAAAAGGCAGAATAACAGAGATGGAAGAGAGTTGGAGAATGAGTGGAAGAAAGACATCTTTAGTTCATTGGTTCATAATCCAAACGCCCGCAACAACCAGTTCATAAACAGCACCCAGGAACTCTGCCAGCCTCCCATGTGGGAGGAATCCAGGCTCTTATCAGGTGCATTAGCAGGAAGCTGGCTCATAAGTGGAGGTGCCAGGAATTGAATTAGCACTTTGATATGAGATGCAGGCATTCCAAACAGTGCCCCAACCCAGTGTGCCTATTTTGAACTTTTTTTTAAGATTTATTTAGTTTTTATTGGAAAGTCAGATTTTGCAGAGAGGAGAGACAGACAAAGATCTTCCATCCGCTGATTTTACTCCCCAGGTGACCACAACATCTGGAGCTTAGTGGATCTGAAGCCAGGAGCCAGGAGCTTCCTCCAAGTCTCCCAAGCGAGAACAGGGTCCCAAGGCTTTGGGCTGTTCTCTACTGCTTTCCCAGGGCACAGGCAGGGAACTATTTGGGAAGTAGGGCTGCCGGGATTAGAACTGGTGCCCATATGAGATCCGGCTGCAAGCAAGGCAAGGACTTTAGCCATTGGGCTACCACACTCTACCCCCCTATTTTAAACTTTTTTAATGTAACCTGTATGTATATATCTATATAAAGCATCTGAAGGTGTTTGCTTGTACCCGGGAAATGGGGAAAGGAGGGAAGAGATCGAGAAAGGAAAAAAAGGGAAAGAAGTCATCTTTTAGGGGTCAGGAGTCAGGCCAACAAAATTGAATAACTTTTCTCAATTCCTTATGACATTTTGCAAATGTTAGCTCACCCATTTTCCTTCCTCCAGTAACAGGCTCTTTCCCATTTTCTTCTTGCAGGTTTGATCCCATACAATTTCATCTGTGTGCAGACAGGCTCTATCCTGTCAACCTTAACCTCCCTGGATGCGCTCTTCTCCTGGGAAACAGTCTTTAAGCTGCTGGCCATTGCCTTGGTAGCCTTGGTTCCCGGAACCCTCATCAAAAGATATAGCCAGAAACACCTGCAATTGAATGAAGCAAGCAGTGCTAATCATATAAATAATAGAAAAGTCACATGATTGGGGTTTTCTGCCTTCCTTGTACTTGGACTCTAAGGCTTGTTTGTAGAATGGGTGCACTTGTCTACAGCCCCTCATTGTTCCATCAGTCATCTTCCACGGGTAGTTTGAACACTGTTCATCTGTGTGCAGTGACTCATCATGGCAGTCTGTGCCCTGGATGATGGATTGTATCAGGTTCTGGAAACAGCCCTGGGTTAGCAGGACACTGCAAAATGGATAGCCTCCTAGAAATTCCATTTCTGTGGGGGTTTTGGCCAGCTAGGAACCCACAAGTGTTTCCTGCCTACCTTTGAGCTGCCTTGGGAGAAACTTCTGATTGTCCAGGCTGCCTGTTTTGCCAAGTGACAGGCAGCAGTGACAGCTTCTGTTAAGCCCCATGGATGCTGTTGCCTTCAGTAATGACACATGGTTCACATCACTGACAGTGCTCAACATCTTGTGTTAGTCTCTGACAGAATGTTTCTTTTGTCCTTTTTTGTTGATGATCTACCTCTTCCATAAGCCAAGAAAAACAAGCTGAGGAGCTGCCTAGGGCTTCCCACGCAAGTGCACAATGATTGCCCTGATGCTCCTGTGTTCAGAAGCACTGATATCACTGTGTATGTCAGATCTTATGGTTGCATGCTCTGATAATTAAGCAGAATACCAACAGACTATTAAATATGAATGGAACAAACGCCATGTCTGTGCGTGTGTTCTGGAGAAATTCTTACCCGTCTGGGCATAGCCCTTGAGTCACCTGAATATGTTCATTATTTAATCTGTTTGTTCTGCATGAGACTGCCTTCTGTGTCCTGTCAAGGAGAATGGATTCAGTACCTTAGGCTATCAGGCAGTGAGGTCCTGGGAATGTTTTTCATTATGCGATTTCCTAGAAATAATTTAGGATTAATTTGTATTTGTATTCTACCTTACAACGCAAGGAGGAAAACTGGATTCATTACTTTGCTGTTATCTTGATTATTGTTTGTTGTGGTTGCAGTATGGAATTGGGCACAGACCTGGGTTGTTCCAAAGGGTACATGGTCCCTGGCACCCACCCTGACCAGCTCTTCTGGTCCGGTCCTCTACAGAAGCTCAGGATTTCCAGGTCTATTGCTCTTGGGCATCATCTGCAGGGTGTTTGATTTCAAATCCTGCTGTGGCTTTGATCTGGGCCTCTAATTCTACATAAATCTTCCACAGGAAAAATGGGCTCCTAACCAGTCCTATGGTTTCTTTCAAAGAAACTTTGATTATAAGCATGAGGGTGGGAAGGGAGCCCAGTGGGCTTTGGAATCTGTGGGTCTCAGTGTTCTGGAGGTGGGGAGGAAAAGCAAGGGAATCTTCCACACTGTAAAATTTGTGTCCTTTGCCCCTTTTTCAGATCCGTAGATGTGTCTCTTTCTCTTCCTCTATAACTTTACAACAATGTGCCTCATTGGCTGTGAGTTTCCAGGCAAAGCAGGGGCCCAAATACATGGAAATGAGTGTTCTGTAAATAAATGACTATCAGTGCTTGTTTGTACATAATTACCTTTGAGTTGCTCTTGCCAGTGGGGATCTGGATTGCTTAAAAAAAATCACAACCCAAAAGAGGTCTGCAAGTAGATGTCCAGTACTTACTCATTCCTGTTCAGTATGTCCTTAATTGCAGAAGGATGGATTTGCCGACACTCAAGTTTTCAAGTATCTGAGCTTCAAGAAGACCACACCAAATCACCTCTCAACAGAGCTAGCTTCCTGTTTCTAAGCAGGAGCACCTCACAGGCATGCAGTCAACTCTGAACCTTAGAGGTCCCCTGTGGTTGCAAAGTGGATGCGGGGCTTCTCAGCCCAGCCCCTTCTTGCCCTCCACCCCCACTCTAAGCAGTTTTGAAAGGAATTGTTATTCAGAGGATATGAACAGGAAACAGATGGAAATCAGTATAAAATGCTCATCTGCAACTCAAATTAAAACTCATCTCTCAGTCAGTCAAAACAGATGCTAAGTGAATGTGTGCTTGCTCATCCCAAAGGTTTGAAATGTTCCCTCAGTGAAGGAGCTTGACATCACAGTCCTGTGAGGTTCCTTGAAGCGCGCTACATTTGACAGGACTGAAGAAGTGGTTCTAGAATTCCCTGAGCTCTTGATTCCACACTGCTTGGATGACTGTGGAGTTGTTGTCAAAGAGATATCCAGTCAAGATTTTCCTCATTATCACAAGGCTTGGTTAAAGAAGGTATCTTTTCTCTTTAGCCTTGACACGCAGGGTACCTTTTTGTGGAATTTCTAGTCAGGAAATATGTTCCCTGCGGATCTTATTCACATCTTGGCTATATACTGAATGCCTTAAGATACAATACCCTGTACCATCTAACATTGTTCATGCAATTATTCATACAATTGATCTAGATGGTATCAGCATGACAGTTAACCTATACAGGAACTTTTTAAAAGAACTAATTGAATTAGTTGGGTGGAAGACTATCATTACTGCTCAGTGGTCACTCAAAATGGGCAGGAACTGGACAGGCTGAAGTGTCAGTGCCTCATGTTGGACAGCAAGAGGGGCTGCAGCATCTCCACTCCAAGGAGCAATGAACTGGAAAGATGCTCACAATGCAGTGTGATCTGAGGTCAGAGGCTGGAAAGTGGGACCCCCCAAGGTACCTTCCCAGGCTTAGGATCCTCAAGGGACACAAGCCTCCTAGAATCTCAGTCTTGTTATGGACAGCATCACAGCTACTTTTTTTTTGTGTCATGTATATTATATTTATGCTGTGTACATTATATTATACATATGTTATACAATATATTAACATTATTAACATATATACATATAAATATATATATATATTTTTAGTCTTCCTGCTACTCCCAAGGAGGAGAAAAACAAATTAGTTTTGTGGGCTCTGGCAGAAAGGAGGTCATAAACTACACTATTGATGCTCACAGCTGGTCCAGGAGTTCCATGCAGAATCCCCACCACCCCCACATCCCCACCCCACCTCACTTCCCTTCAGGGTGTTAAATAATCCTCTTTTTGCTTCCAGTGTAGTCCCAGGATTTTATTCTTAAGAAACTTGGGGAAGTTTACAGCTTTTGAACTACTTGCCCATCCACTCAGTCATTTGTCTACTTAGGAGCTTTCTCATGATCAAGTCAAAAATCACACTATGTTCATTGGGCTTAGGGGCGGCACACACACATCCTCAGATGATTGTTGTTGGACACGGAAAATTCGGGAATACAGCTAAGATGCATACCAGAGAGCTCCCGAATGGCAGTTCCATTTGCATTTCCTCATTTAAATCATAACATCTGCAGTAATTCATAGTTAGCAATCAACACAATCATTGTGTTATATCATAAACCACACCTTCTGATCGACAGAAAATGAGACTTGATAATATAAAATAACAATAATAATGCCATAACTTAAGATCGTTCATGTAGTCCAGCTACAGAATTGATACAAAATGGAATAATTTAATGCAAACAATACTGTCCTCTGTATAAGTTAAACATTTTCCTTCATCCTACCTAGATGCTACTAAATTATAGACACTACATTCTAAATCAACGTCTCAACATAAAGTGTAAACAAATGGAGGGATCAGACAGGCAAGAGGAACTGCTCTCCACTCCGTCCTGCCTTTCCTTTTTGGCTGATGCAGTTAGTGTAACCCGGAAGAGGGACAATCTGTTCACTTGCATTGGAAATGGTCAGGCCCTGAATGTGCAAATCTTGCCTAATGTCCAGCATGATGCACTGTCAGAGTGTAACCAGGCTAGAGAGGCTGTCTTACAGTTAACCTGTCTTACAGACATCACTGAGGTCCACGTGTGTTTGTACCTACAAATCTGAGGCTGCAGCTTTCCTTGCAGCCAAGGAGCCATGGTGTACCTCGGGATGCTTTTCTGGGATGACTTGTGCTTGGGACAATGTAAAGTCCTTGCAATTGCTACTTAGCATCAGTTCTGATCATTTCCAAATTCAGTTATTCAAAACTGCATCAATTCAGAGTGAAGGGAAATGGATTTCACACATAGTGATACTTAACAAAAATGGTATCTATCGTGGTGGCAAAGGGGATGGGTGCCTTTTGTCAATTGCTTATCATGCCTTTATTCTGACTGTGGAGGTTAGTCACTAAAGCTTCAGGATAGGATGAGTTAATGAGTAAAACAAAGGGATGATTTGGGATGGGGCAGAGACATCCTAGCTGCCTTTAGAGACTGTTCTGCTCGAATGAGAGTAACTCCAGCAGACAGCACCAAGCCCTCCTGAGAATGCACTTCTACAAATTCTACTGTTGCTTTTCTAACACTGTTGCAAATCTTCTCTTCTCCTAATCCTTTTTCTGTTCCTCAGAAACCTTAGGTCCTTTCTACTGAGGAAAGTGGGTAAACAGGTGAAAAGGAAGTAAGCTATAAGAAAGTGGCACTTCAATCTACAAGATCAACACATTTGGTCAAGATAACACATTGGTCAAGATGGTGACAATGACAGCGCTAACAAGGGGAATATTTGCCAAGGATTACCTGTAAGCCTTACTACCAAGTACTGCTTTCAAAAGTTGAAAATGCAATCAGCTTCCACATATGCACAGTCTGTTTCCGCCAGAAGGAAGCACACACCCTCAAAGACCTTGGGGGCATATCTGTTCACCAACCTTCTCTAGGTTTTTTCCATCATCCACCTGGATAAGCTGTCTGGACTGAGTATTCTCAAGTTAGCTGGAATTGCCTCTCTTTTGGCTGCTCATCACACTCTAAAAGGCTCAACGTGTCTTGCTGTGGTTCTGGCTCTTCCTCAAGTCACGGCTGAGAACTGGTCCCCTGTTCAAGCAGCAGTGGTACCTCCCAGCCCCACAAGTTCCAAATGATGTTGTTCCTAAATTCCACTTCTTTCCACTGTTTCCTATTTCTCTTGCTCTTTCAAGAAATTACTGGGTCTCTCTTATATATAGTTCACTCTTTACAGTATAAAGTGTTAAAATGTCAAACAAAAATAAATATCAATGTTACAGTAGCTAGATTATTCAATAAAATAGATCCCTGCCATTCTTGATTGAAATGTTCAGTGAGACTTAAATTTCATTTGGGTAGTTTTCTTCAGAGATTTGCGAAGTCTCATGTTCCTGTTATTGCAGCTCGTTTCAAGGGGTGGAGGAGACAGGGTAGCTCCCTTTCCAGAGGGGCAGTGGGGGAGAGCATGGGAGGGGTGTGGGATGGGCAGGAGCAGGGGGGACGGTGTGGAATGCCACAAGTGTCCAGCTCCTTGTGACTCGAATTCCTTGGGTTGGGATTCCTTCATTACCAAGTGGCGGAGCTGTAGTGTTTGTTGGTCCTCACTGTGGCGTCGGAGCACTCCCCATCCGAAGAGTCGCACTCTGAATCTTCAAACTGCATCGGGTTCTGCAGAGCCAAGACAAAACAAGCTAGTCACTCTCTAGGCACAGATTGCACCAAGGCGTGAGTGGGCAAGAGCTTGAGGAGACCAGGTCCTAGGCTGTGTGTGTGTGTGTGTGTGTGTGTGTGTGTGTGTGTGTGTGTGTGTGTGTGAAGTGTGCAGGACTATGGCAACACCACACTGAGCATCAACTACAGGCCCATCCCCAACTTTGCCAGTGTTTCCAGTGCTCTGTGCACTGGCTGTGAGTACTTGGTGTGTATTAACAGGTGATGGCTGCTAGGGTCGCCCTCCTTTTACAGGCCAGAGAGAGTGACTTAGACAGGTGAGAGGCTGGCCACTCAGTAGGTGAGAAGCAGGGCCAGGTGGGTGATTCAAACCTAGGACAGCAGCGCTACCCTGCCTGTCCCAAGGCCATTGTTTTGAATAGGAAATGTCATGGTCACGTCCCTCGCAGGGGGAAGTGGGACACATAGGCTGGCGGATGGGGCTGGGGTTAGGTAAGGTTTACAAGAAATCTCAAAATTACAGTTTTCCTGGATATGTGTGTGTGTGTGTGCGTTTACACATGGACAATGGACAAGGCTGCCCTCCCTACCCAGGGCCTGGCTGATGATCTTCATCCATCGCCATCTGCTTCTTACTCAGTGAAAATGAGGGGACCCTGGGGACTGGCACATTTTTCTGACTCAGAAAAGTGAGGGCAGGGCAGGGTCAGGCAGGGTCCCCCACCTCATAGCCACGCTCTTCGGCACACAGTTTGCCCAGAGACATCTGTGTCTTGACGCGGCGCACAGCGCACTCTTTGTCTGAGAGGCCGTCTGAGTGTGAGGAGATGTCGATGGGGATCTCGGGCGTCTGGGACAGCAGGTCATCTAGCTGTTCGGCCAGGCGGTTCTCCAGCCTTTGTGCCAACTCCTCGGCACTGTTGGAGTGGTCGCTGGTGTTCCCCTCCTCGCCGTCAGATACTGAGAAGTTCTCCGAGCTGAAGGTCGAATAAGACTGGCAGCTGCTGATGCAGCGGTGTGGTCTGCAAGTGCAAAGAAGCACTGGGGCTTAATCACAGGGGATGCCACTTTCCTGTGGCTTACAGACTGCAGGGACATAGTCTAGATGTTTTCTGTCCCAACTGAAGCCCAGACAGGTAGAACCCACACGTAAAGCAAGCGAAAGAGGCTCTGGCCTGAACTGTAGGCCATTTCCGTGTGGAAGCGTTGATGTCCAGTGTGTCTGTGTCTGATTGAAGACAAGGCATTTCACAGGTAAGTAATGAAGGCCCAAGAGTGAGGTTCTGATCCAATAGGATGGATGGCTTGATAGAAAGAGTTCTGGGGCCAGCATTACGTTGTAGTAAGTTAAGTCACTGCCCAAGATTCTAACAATACCTGAGCTCTGGCTGAAGTCCCAGCTACTATGCTTCAGATCCATCTTCCTTTCTAATGCACCTGGGAAAGCAGCAGTTGTTGGACCAAGTACATGCAGGCAACATGCTGGCTTTAGCTTGGCCCAGAACCAGCTATTGGGGCCATTTGGGGAGTGAACCTGCAGATGGAAGCTCTGTCTCTCTCTATATAACTTTAAAAATAAATAGTTTTAAAGAAGACTTCTGCCTCTGTGCTCTTCATTTGCATGCAGGGAAGAAAGGCCAGATGAAGCCACGGAGAAAAGGCAGCTGTCTGCTAAGGACTGAACAGTGTGTGCCCCTTCCACCTGCTTTTCATATATTGAGGCCCTAACTCCTAATATAACCATCTGGAAATAGGATCTTTAGGAGATAGCTAAGGTTAAATAAGTTATCAGAGTGGAGTCCTCATCTGATTAGACTGGGATCTTATATAAAGAACCCCTTGACTACCAACCCTGTGAGGGCCCTGTGAGAGGGTGACTGTCTATAAGGCAGGAGTAGCAGCCCTCAGCAGGAACCTTGCCCTTGGACTTCACCAGCATTCGTAACTGTGAACAGTAAACATCTGCTGTTTTAGTCACCCACTTTAAAAAAAAAATAGGAGCCTGAACAGACTAACACAGCATGACACGCTAAAATAGCTCAAATTAACTCAACCTGCATGACTGCCGCTTACCTCTTCAGTTGTAACCTTGAAGCTGCGTTCATGCTCCTCAGCTTGAAATTCGCATGAAATAAATACCAAAGATCTGCTGTGCCTAACCAGATGCCAGCATGTGGCCAGGGGATAAGCATGAATGCAGAGCCTGGCAGGGTGACCTGGGACCTGAACAGAAGGTGTAGCCAACTCTGGGTATTTCATCATTCAGTGGAAAACAGATCAAGTGTTTGTTGGTTTTACCTCTGTCTTCGTGGAAATTCAACTTCACTGTCTACTTCCCCTTCCTCTTCTGAGGAGTCATCCCCACTCTGAGGAGAACAAGGAGAAAAGTGTTTAAGCATCTCTCACTCTCTCGTCCCCCAACGGCCAGCACCTTTAAGAGATTTAATCGCCATCAGAAGGGTTGACGTGTGTCGTCCTCAATCACACACAACCTTATTTATTCATTCAGCAATGTTTCCTGTGCCTACCAGCTCCATCATATAAGACTTCATCATTTGAGCCCACCGGGATGCCGGTGTTCCAAGACAGGCTCCAGAGTAGGAAGCTAGAGAGGAGATCTCAGGGTTGTGAGGAAGTCTCACCATTACTGGAGTCCCAGGCTCTATCTTAGACATTCCATCGGGAAGGAATCTTTCAGTTCTTCAAAGTAGTCATTACTATCCCTCCCATTATCTACTTTGTCACTAATGTTAGAATGATACTAAGATATGGCTGGACCATATCTTGTTTGTATCATATTCCTCATGCTACCATGAAGATAAGAATGTATTCCAAAATACTTATTCATCATCTATATCTATATCTATCTAAAATTATTATTTGCCAATTTAAACAAAAGTGTTCTTTACTGTATTAGACCATGACAGCACGTTGGCAGGACTAAGGAAGCTCTGGCTGAGACATGTGAGGTCTCAAGGTTGATCCATGGTTGGTCTAGAAGGCTAAGGGTCCCAGCCAGGAAGATTATCTATTTTACAAAAATTTCATCTAATAACAAGGGCATGGCAGCAGCCTAATGTGAAAGCCAAGTGTCCTTTCACCACAGCAGTGTGGTACCTTGGTGTGCCCAGTCTCTTATGTAGCAGGTGGATGTGTCCAAGGAACTAGACCTTTTTAAAACTCAGTTCTAAAACATCATGACTTTCACTCATTTGTATTCTGATACACTATCTTTTTTTTTTTAAATGGGAAACATAACAGAATGAGTTACCTTGTCTGCTAACATTAATGTTTAATCTCAGAATACCCCCTTGGAATGTGGAATGTCTCTCAATAGAGAAAAATTTAACTGCTCTGTGGGAGTATGGTCCTGAAGAGACCCAATAATCAAGGTGGGGGCCTGCAGACCCACAGATGGCTTCAGGATATTTAAAAGATGCATACATGTTGCTCGAGGTGGTCTTAGGAAAGGGTAACTGATAAAGGGTGTGGGGTTTATTCTTGGGGTGATGAAAATGTTTTAAACTTGAGTGTGGTGCTGGCTGCACAATTCTAGGGATAAAAGCACTGAATTATACACTTGAAATAGAAGGGTTGGATGGTATGCACATTATGCTTAATAAGGTTGTAACAAAAAGCACATGTTACTGGCCATCAGACTAGGGGAGGCAGAAAATGTTCAAAACAGCTGTCTCACTAAAAACACAATCTACCCTCTGGATTTCTCAGTCTAGAGCAGCAGTGTCTATAGGGGAAGAAATGTGGTCCTCAGGACATAATGCTCAGCTTCTTTTCTACCAAATGTCTAGTTTAACAAAAGATGCTCATTGACATTCAAGCCTCTAACTAAGTTGAAGATAAGCTGATTAGATGAATCAAGACTTAGAATTGAGTAGGTTCTAAGCACTTTTTATCCACAATCATATTTTCTAACTTGTAAGAAAATGAGCACATGTTTTTGGGAGGCTGCTATGGGCCACACCCTGTTCTCAATGTATTGTATGTATTTGCTCATTTACTCCTGATGGCAACCAATGAGGCAGACAGAGTCTACTTATAGGCCCGTTTCAAGGACGAGAAAACCAAGACTCATAGAATAGTACATGGGAGAAATTGGCTTTGAACTAAGCACTATCTAATTTCCATATTCATGCTCTTAATCACAATTATGGGCTGCTTCCCAGCTGCTATGTGCCAGGCAGCCAGCATATAAGGAGGAAGCAGGTTTCCATAACTAAGAACTTAGTGGGTCATGATGGTTATTCATAAAGGCCATGTTTCCCAAACTGACTAACAGATGTTATATTCAGAAGTCAAATAGGCGGGCCCGGCAGTGTGGCCTAGTGGCTAAGGTCCTCGCCTTGAACGCCCTGGGATCCCATATGGGCACTGGTTCTAATCCGGGTAGCTCCACTTCCCATCCAGTACGCTGTTTGTGGCCTGGGAAAGCAGTTCGAGGATGGCCCAAAGATTTGGGACCTTGCACCCATGTGGGAAACCCGGAAGAGGTTCCTGGTTCCTGGATCTGGATTGGCGCAGTACCGGCTGTTGCACTCACTTGGGGAGTGAATCATCGGACAGAAGATCTTCCTCTCTGTCCTCCTCCCTGCTCTCTGTATATCTGACTTTGTAATAAAAATAAATAAATAAAAAAAAGAAGTCAAATAGGCAAGGGAAATGCTGGATTAAACAAGCTGACTATGGAGTTTCCCAAGGTCCAAGATTTGTTAATACGCACGAGGAGTCTCCAAGAAGGGACAGAGAATCCTGCTTCTCACACTTATTTTACAATGGAGTCCTTCCTGTAACATCGTTTAGGAGTGGGTTCCAGAGTCAAGGTCTCCAAGCTGTTGGTCTCATATCCCAAAGTACAGCTAGCTAGCTGTAAAGTCATACACATTTGAATCACTCCCCTGGTTGAGCTGCTCCCAAAAGTGATTCCTTGGCCCATTCCTAGCAGTATGGAAAGCAAGTATTGAAAGTAGAAAGTATTGATATTTTTGTTATCTTGCCCTTTTTTATAAAAAAATACCCTCTTTATGTTCCTTTTAGAACATGCACAGCATGATAGGCGCTGGCATTCTCTGAAGGCATGATACTGACAGGCCTTGGCGTGACACCTTACCTTTTGTAGTGGTCTTGTTTTTCGAGGTAGCACTGGGGGGGTCATGTGATGAAGGGTGCCAAGAGATGAGGCTGACCCACAGCCATCAAATTCCTTTTCTTCCATTTTCTCAGGATCCTGGACATTTTCCGAGAGGGGATTGTGTGCTGGTGACTTGGGAAGGTTGGGACTCCTCCCCATGGGATCAGCAGCATGTGTGTCTAAAGACGCACACTGTTCAGGCCGGCACTGGAGGCAAGGGTCATAAGGGTCAGCCTGCCAACAGCTAGGCTCAGAACTTCTCCGACAATCTGCTGCCACGGCGGTGGAGATGAGGTCAGGGCTGGAGCCAGGCAGCTGCCTTTGAGCATGGTTGCTGAGTGGGCTGCGCAGGGCTGCTGCTGGGCCGAAATACCTCAGGTTGTTGGCACAGGCTGCAATGTCCTGTCCGTGCATATTGAGCCTGGGGTGGGAACTCTGAGACAAAGCAGGAAGGGGTTGCTGGTATTGCTGCTGCAGAGGGGGGTGGGGATGGACAGAGTGCTGCTGGGACCCATCTTGCGGCAGGGAGGTGGGATGGGGGCAGTTTTCCTGGGCTGGCTGGTTTTTCAGGATGCCTGCGAAGTCACTGTGGCTGCCTCGGCTGTTTCCCCGGCGGTGCCGTGGTTTGCTCCGATATCGGCTCTTGCTGCTTGAGGTGGACATTTTGGGACTCCCAGATAAGGGCGATGCAGTAGGAGCTACTTCAGCACTGGGGATACCTTCAGATCGCAGCAGATCTGGCCTGGAGAAAGAGTAGGTTTAGGTTCAAACACATTGAAGTTGGGGGAAATGTCTTCCAAGTCACAAGTGCACAGATTCAAACAAAGAAGATGACAGATATGCACAAGGATGTATGTTTGATGATGTTATGCTATGCTTTTATTTAAAGCAGCAAAATGGTGAAAACAACCTCAATATCCACTTAGAGGGACTGCCTTTATTTCTTCTGGTGTTTATTCTGTGTCTTCCAAGCTTAGATTTTAATTCTACCCTATATGTTTCTTTCTATTTATTTATTTATTTATTTATTTATTTATTTTAAAGCTCTACTTATTTATTTGAAAGAGTCATAGAGAAAAAAAGGAGAAACAGAGAGATCTTCCATCCTCTGGTTCATTCCCTTAATGCCCAAAACAGTACAGAGTGGGTCAGGCCAAAGGTAGGAGACATAAACTCCCACTGGGACTCCCACTTGGAAGAACAGTAGAAGGTGGCCCTGTGCTTGGGCCCTGCCACCCAAGTCTGAAGCTTCTTCCGATCTCCAACGTGAATGCAGGAGCCCGAGTACTTGGGCCATTCCTCTGCTGCTTTCCTAGGCACATTATCAGGAGCTGGATCAGAAATGGAGCAGTTGGGCTCAAACCTATATAGCTATATAGTGTCAACACTGCAGACTTTACCTGCAGGTTTACCTGTTGTCCACAACACTTCCCTCTCTTTCTCTTAGAAAGAATTTATTTATTTAAAATGCAGAGTTACAGAAAGAAAGAGGTTGAGAGAATCCTCCATCTTCCGTTAGTCCACTTTTCAGATGGCCACAATGGCAAAGGCTGGGCCAGGCCAAAGCCAGGAACCAAGAGCTTCATCTGGGTTTACCATATGGATGTCAGGAGTTCTAACACTTGGGCCATCCTCTGCTCTTTTCCTAGGCCACTAGCATGGAGCTGGATTGGAAGTAGAGTAGCAGGGACTCAAGCCAGTGTCCATGTGGGATACTGGCATTGAAGGCAGTGGCTTAGCATGCTATGCCACAACATTGACCCTTCTATAGGCATTTTGATCTCTTCTTCACAATCTAGCTTTTAGCTTGGTGTCATTGTAAGTACATGAGTATTTGGCCAACACAAGAAATTTGTTGGGCTGATGCTGTGGCTTAGCACATTAAGTCCCTACCTGTGGTGCCAGTATCCCATATGGGAGCTGGTTCAAGCCCTGACTACTTTGTTTCTTATTCAGCTCCCTGCTAATGGCCTGGAAAAACAGCAGAGGGTGGCCCAGGTCCCTGTGCCCTTGTACCCAGATGGGAGACCTGGAAGTAGCTCCAGGCCAGTTCTGGCCATTGCTGCCATTTGGGGAGTGAACCAGCGAATAGAAGAGCTCTCTTTCTGTCTCTCCCTAAAACTCTGCCTTTCAAATTAAAAAAATATATATTAAAAAGAAAAAAGGAAATCTGTTAGATGATGGACCTGGAAAGATCTCCATAACATCACAAATTAAAGAGGTCTGGTAGCAGAGAAAGAAACCTTGAGCTAATTTCCTAAGAGGCTAAGCTCAGGGATTATGGCTTAGACTTGCTCTCCTTGGGGAACTCATTATTGTATGTGAAGGACCCTAGCAAGGAATCTTGTTCAATACATCTTCAAAGAAGGGAAAAAGATAAGCGTTTTTTTTTTTTTTAAAGATTTATTTTTATTATTTTTTCATTGGAAAGGCAGATATACAGAGAGGAGAGACAGAGAGGAAGATCTTCCATCCGATGATTCACTCCCCAAGTGAGCGCAACAGGCCGATACTATGCCGATCCGAAGCCAGGAGCCTCTTCCAGGTCTCCCATGCGGGTGCAGGTTCCCAAAGCCTTGGGCTGTCCTCGACTGCTTTCCCAGGCCACAGGCAGGGAGCTGGAAGGGAAGCGGGGCTGCCGGGATTAGAACCGGCGCCCATATGGGATCCCGGGCGTGCAAGGCAAGGACCTTTAACCACTTGCGCCACCGCGCCGGGCCCCAAGATAAGCGTTTTGCAAGAGAAAAAGTAGGAGGATGAGCCAGGGCAGTGAGAGAAGGGCAAATGAGGAGTCATACTGGCATGCCAGTGTGCAGGGGGGTGGTTCTCACAGCCCCCTTCCCAGCGCGTCAGTCATGAAGATCATGGAGCCTTCAAGTAAACTTCTCCACATTGATTATGGGCAAAGAGGAAATGGTTTCTGATTGATTCATGGCAGAAACCCCAGGAACATCAGGAAATACTGCCACTTCCTTCCTGCTAGTGAATAGCCTCACCTTTCTTCCGCACCAGACAGATACAACTAAGCCAGACATTAAAGCACTGCAGGATCCATGCTTCTGTTTTTCAACAATACAATCTTTCTCCCAGATGAATTATTATGAAAACAAAAACAACCCCCCAGCAAATAAAATAGGTACAGAATTGGTTGAAGGTCGGAGGGTCTGTGTGTGCACAGTGCTGTGCCTTACAGGGCTCCCTTTCTTTGAGCTTCTGCACCTGTGGTGGCCTCTATGACATCTCCCAGGCCTTGCTTGGTGTCCCAGGCCTCGCTTGAATGATGCAGCTACAGCCCCGCCTCCACCAAACGTGCGGAGGAGCCCAAAGGTCAGCCAGAGTGGCCGTGGCTTCAAGGTTCTTCAGTGGCGTGGCTGGCTCAGGAAAGCTCTCCAAACTGCCGGCCACGTGTACTGGGCAGAGGACAGACCTGAAGGTGCACACCAGTAACTTGTGAATGAAGAGCTCATTACAGTGACTGTTTCTGTAAGTCTGTGACTCTAACAAGCTCTGGGGTGATGGAAATGCTCTGCAAATAGTGGCTGCCTTAGTGCTTCGGGAATGATGACAAGGGAAAAAGTCTGTACAAGTCTAGTATGAATCCAGTTTTTCTCCCCTGGTACTCTCTAACTGCAGTTGGTAGAATCTGTTAGTGCAGAACCCACAGATTTGGAGGAATGGCTGCACTGTAGTTCTCTTTCTATCTTTAAAGGTTTATTTATTTGAAAAGCAGAGAGAAAAAGAGAGACAATCTTTCCTCTATGGATTTAATCCCCAAGTTCCCACAACAGGCAGGACTGAACAAGGAGAAAGCAGGAGATAAGAACTGAATACAGGGGTTGGCATTGTGGCATAGCATGCAAAGCTGCCATTTGCAACACCAACATCTCCTAAGGACACCAGTTCAAGTTCTGGTCCCTCAACTACTGATCCAGCTTCCTGTCAATGGCCTGGAAAAAGCAACAGAAGATGGCTCAAGTACATGGGTTCTTGCCATCCATGTGGGAGACCCAAATGGAGCTTCTGGCTCCAGGCTTCAGCCTGGCTCATTCCTGTTCAGTGCAACTACTTGAAAATTGAACAAGTGCATGGAAGACGCCTCTGTTTGTCTCTCTCTCTGAAACTCTGACTTATAAATAAACTCAATCAAAATCTTTCACATGGGTGACAGGGACCCAGGTCCTTGAGCCATCATCTGCTGGGTCCTAGGAGGTACATTAGCAGCTGGATTGGAAATGGAGGTAGGATTCAATCCCATGTACACCTATAAGAGATGCAGACAGCCCAAGCGGTATTGCACCACAATGCCTGCTCTGTCTTGGTTTGCACTGTAGGTAGAATGCAGGGAGGAGCCAGTAGGTGATTCTGTCCATCATTAGTACAATAAAAGAAAATTATATGCTGGGAGTCTCCTCAGAGCTATATCAGGTGCGATCCACAAACAACTTGTCAGGCCTGACCATAAGATGGTCAGGGACACCACTGGGAATTGGAGTTCCTGTTTGGACTATCCTAAAATTCACCAAGTTCAGTAAAAAACATGCATCAATACTATAAACTGTTAAATATAAAAATGAAAATAGACATGAGACAGCTGAATAGTACCCTACAACTGTTTCAAGGTGTATAGCAGCCGATTGTGCATAAACTAAAAAAGAAATGTCAATGAAGTAGTCACAGGATGTGGTCAAGAACTTGCATTTTTTAACATACTGGTTACTCAATACCATGATAATTAATTCCATAATGTTGTATATTGTTGTTGATGTTATGTTGGGGCTTTTAATTGATCGGGATGATATTCTGCCAGCTCTACCTTCAGACCAGAGATGGTCTCCCAAGTAACCGTTGAATGTATCTGGACAATTATTAGATGATGGACTCTTTGCTTGGTATATGTTTGCAATAGAAGAATTTCAATTGAATATGATCTGTAATACTGCAACAAGGTGGAGGAATCCACCATCAGGGGAGGGGTTGGGGGAATCCCAGAGCCTATGAAACTGTGTCACATAATGCAATGCAATTAATAAAAAAAAAAAAGATGGTCAGGGACAGCAAGTAAAGTAAAGGTGAAATTAATCCATGTAGTTACTTAGAAGTCTAGGTTCAATTAGCCATGCTATGGTTATCACTCTGAAAGCCTTACTATAAATGCCTTATTTTTTTTAAAGAAAATTTATTTTCTTGGAAAAGATTTGTTTGTTTGTTTTTGAAAGGTAGAGTTACAAAGTGAGAGAAAGGAAGAGAGAAAAAGAGGGAGAGATCTTCCATCTGCTGGCTCACTTCCAAAATAGCTACAATAGCCAGGGCTGGGCCAGGTCAAAGCCAGCAGGCTAGAACTGCATCTGGGTCTCCTCAATGTGTGTTGGGTCCCAAGGACTTACTATCTTCTCCTGCTCTTTCAGCTGTCCTGACAGGGAGCTAGATTGGAAGTGGAGCAACTGGGACAGGAACCCATGCCCACATGGGATGCTGATATTGCTGGGCAGTGGCTTAACTTGCTGCAGCACAGAATAAGCCCCTATAAGTGTTTTCTCATTATCCTTATTCTTACTGTATTTAGCTTAAGTCTAACTGATTCTACACTCCAGGATGAAGGATATTCATTTCTTTTTCATTAACCTAGCTATGATAGAACTTATTCTTTGCTATTGGGGAGAAATGAAAACCTACAGTTTGGTAATAAAAAAAATAAATGAAAGATTATTTTACGCTAAACAAGGTAAATATGTTATCAAATGGAGAAACAGAAATCTTTCAAACACTATTTGAAAATCCATTTTTCAAGCATCTATGATTTGACAGATCATTTCACATGTCACCTTGTTGAAACTTCACAGAAATCCCAGGCAGGAGTACAATAATGGGAAATATGTAGTACATTCATGTAATTATCAAAGTCTGCTTTTTTGAAGATTTATTTATTTTTATTGGAAAGTCAGATTTTCAGGGAGAAGGAGAGACAGATCTTCCATCCACTGGTTCACTTCCCAGGTGGCCACAATGGCCAGGGCTGAGTGATCCAAAGCAAGGAGTTTCCTCTAGGTCTCCCATGCGGGTACAGGGTCCCAAGGCTTTGGGCCATCCTCTACTGCTTTCCCAGGCTACAAGCAGGGAGCTGGATAGAAAGTGCAGCAGCCAGAACACAAACTGGCGCCCATATGGGATCCCAGTGAAGGCAAGGCAAGGACTTTAGCCACTAGGCTACTGTGCTGGGCCCAAGTTCCTGGTTTTGTTTTAAGAGATAAATTATTACATTACTAAGAACTAACTGCATAAATACAAGTTGGTAATGCATAAACTGTTATGTTTGAAAATAAAGAAGTATGATCAATTAATTTATGTCCTAAGAATAATAAAAAAAATTTATCATCACATGTGCTATAACTGCATCATTCTAAGCACAGAGTCAACGAGGTTGAAAGAAGTGAAATGACATGGCCCAAGTCACAGAGTTTGTAAGGCAGGGCCAGGATTTGATCCCAGCTCTATCTGGCCCCTGGTTTCTGTTTCCTTTATTCTGTTCTGAGATGATAAATATCCATGCCTCACAAAGTAATAGATTCCTAGAGGCCATGGCACATGTTCTCACCTTCCTACTCTGCTTTATTTCCACTGTATCGGTGTGCTAATGATGAGCTACAGAAGTGGCCAGCCACACTCGCCACCATGTGAGAATGTATATTTAGGATGAAGCTTTTCCATTTATCTGAGGGGCAGGTGGGGGGATGTGTAACTCACCGTTTGGTCTGCATGCCAGGCTTGTGAGGCACACCTTTCCTCTTCATGAGCTTCTCCATGGCATTGGGGTGGATGATGGGGCGCACGGGGTGTCGTTTGTAGGTCCCAGGATACTTCTTTTCCACTGCCTGCTCACGCCTGTGGAATGAGAGATAAGGCCACACCTTGACCACTGCACATAGAAAGGAGGGGTAGAATGCTTTCATGGGCTGATTCCATTCATGGGTTTTGACTACACTTCAGCTAACAGGCTTCTTGAAAAAGAAAGCTATTATCCAGGTTGAAAACCAAACCCAAACCAGACTAAATCAAACCAAGAAAGAGCTCAACTCCAATGAACCATACTTCATCCTGTACTTGGCATTCCCAGAATCAGACACTAACTCTCCTCCCAGCACAGCACAATGAGCCAAGTCCTGCCTGTCTGCAGAAGCTTCGTTCAGGACTCTAGGGTTTGTTTGTCAGCACCAGGATTACATTAAACCACTCTCAGTGGTCACTTTGATTTGCCCCAGGGGGCAACAAGCTCTCTCTCATCCACACCAAGCTCTTCTTGATGAGGACCTCTTCTCTGAGCCGTGCAACAGGAAGAAGCATTTGTGCCCCTCAAGTGCATGTTCCCCCTTGACCGGCTTTGTGGCAATGCCATCTGTACCCTCACAGGGGGCAGGCACATCCCCTAGGGACTACTGGGTGAAGGCATATAGCAGGGAGTGGCTCTGAGTAGCAGCCATGGGCAGAGCTGTGTGTTTCTCTGACTGACAGACCGCAGTCCGTCAGGGCAGAGACCCGTCTGGATCCATACTTGATGAGCTCCTTCTCCCGCATCTCCAGCTGCAGCATGATGGCACTCAGCTCCATGTAGAGGTTATTGGCCCGCTCCAGCTTCCTCTCATAGTGCTCACGGATGTCCAGAGCATGCCTACCAGAAAAAGCACAGCATCAGCAGAGCCCAACGATTTCGGGGAGGACAGAGGGCAAGCCCTCCATTTGTACGGTCTCTCTGATGGGATGCAATAAGATGGAGCAGGAGACGGGAAATCCACCCTTTCCACTCTGCTTATCTTTTTTTTTTAAGATCTATTTTTATTGGAAAGTCAGATATACAAAGAAAAGGAGAGACAGAGAGGAAGATCTTCTGTCCAATGGCTCACTCCCTAAGTGACTGCAACAGCTGGTGCTGCGCCAGTCTGAAGCCATGAGCCAGGAACCTCTTCCATGTCTCCCACACGGGTGCAGGGTCCCAAGGCTTTAGGCCATCCTTGACTGCTTTCCCAGGCCACAAGCAGGTATCTGGATGGGAAGTGGAGCTGCTGGGACCAGAACCGGTGCCCATATGGGATCCCAGTGCGTTCAGGGTGAGGACTTTAGCTGCTATGCCACGCCACTGGACCCCATTCTGCTTATCTTGAAGGGCCCCATTCAGCCACTCACAACATCCAGCAAGGCCACAGATAAAATCTGAATGTGATTTTTATGCAATTTGTAGCCTTTGTCAGTGTGTGGTATTGGCATTATACAGTGTCATGTATTCATAGGTAATGAAAATATGCAGTTAAAGCCGACATCATCAGGATTAGGTTATATTTATCCATGGCACAGATCTGGTCAGATATGGTGGTCTAAAGTCTGAATGTTTGTGTTCTTTGTTGAAATATACCCAACATGATGGTACCAAGAGATGGGACCCTTGGGAGAAGATCTGCACAATGGCTTTGATTAGATTATAGTGGTTCCTCCTTTTGCTTTTTTAAATTTTTTAATTTTTATTTATTTATTTATTTTTAAAGATTTATTTATTTATTGGAAAGGTAGATATACAGAGAGGAGGAGAGACAGAGAGGAAGATTCACTCCCCAAGTGAGCGCAACAGCTGGTGCTATGCCGATCCAAAGCCAGGAGCCAGGAACTTCTTCCGGGTTTCCCACTTGGGTGCAGGGTCCCAAGTTTTGGGCCGTCCTTGACTGCTTTCCCAGGCCACAAGCAGGGATCTGGATGGGAAGCAGAGCTGCCGGGATTAGAACCGGCGCCCATATGGGATCCCAGGGCACGTTCAAGGCAAGGACTTTAGCCACTAGGCCACACCACCGGGCCCCTCCTTTTGCTTTTTTAAAGATATATTTATTTATTTCCATTTGAAAGGCAGAGTTACAGAGAGAAGAGGAGAGACAGAGAGGGAGAGAGAGAGTGAGATCTTTTACCCGCTGGCTCATTCTCCAAATAGTCGCAATGGCTAGAGCTATTTGGTCTAGCCAACATGAAGCTAGGAGCCAGGAGTTTCTCCCTGATCTTACATGTGAGTGCAGGGACCTAATGACTTAGACCATCTTTCACTGCTCTCCCAGAAAAATTAGTAGGGAGCTGGATCACAAGTGGAGCAGCTAGGACTCGAATCAGCACACAAGGGATACTGGTGCCACAGGTAGAGGTTTAACCTATAACACCATGGCCCCATTCCTTGGGGCTCCTTCTTAAAGAGACTGGAGGGAGTCCTCTTGCCCGTGAATCAAGCAAAGACACATAGAAGGGGCCATCCTTGAGACATGGGCCCTCACCAGACACCAGCTCTATTGCCACCTTATGCCTGTACTTCCCAGACTCCAGAAGTGTGAGAAGCAAATTTCTGTGGTGCTTCCAAACTACCCCGTCTATTGTATTTTGTCACATAAGGGCCCTTGAATAATTCATGGACAACACATATTTGAAAAAACTATGCATAGGTTTTAAATTTTTTGTACCAAATTGAATTTCTCTTATAATTCCATTTTTTTAATTCTTTATTTTATGGGACAGTTTAATAGGCATTCGGGTTTCCCCTTCTCTCCCTTTTAATTCCATTTCCCGTGAGCTGTTTGAAATGCCCTCACAGCAGCCCAATTGGACCGACTGGGTGTCTATGAGCAGGTGCTGGACTCCTTAGTGGATTCTGAGCATTTGGAAGCCAGAAATGACATCTTATACATTTCTAGCCCCTGCGGCATCTGGAACAAATAGCCTTGCTCCAGGAATCACGGTCACAGAGATTTAGTAAAGGAGGATAACAGAATCGTGGGGAAAGGATTGAAAAGGAAATACAAAGGAGGGTTAACTTTATGGAGTGAAATGGTGGGTGACAGAGAGGACTCCTGATGCCACCTGAAGACCAAGGAGGACGAGAGGTGGACGGAGGGACCAGCTGACCTGAGCTCTTCCCTGCGCCTTCGAATCAGTTCTTCATCCAATCGATGTATGCATGTTCCTTCACTTTTGATCTTTTCAAAGTGTTTTTTCACTTCTTCTCTCCATTCAGCCTAGGTAGGGACAAAGTCAGGTTTTGTTAATATTCTAGCAGTTTCAATTTCAGATATTACCACAAGATCATGGTACCAAAAAATTTTCCCCACTGCATCCATAGGCTTATTCTAGTCTATGAGCTTCCTGGAGGAGTCTTATTTAGAATCAATGTTCAAGAAACAGGAATTGATTTGATAGCAAAATATTTCATGTCATTCATCTGTGTGTCCTATTTCATTTTCTGGATTTCTACCCCGGTACTGTTTTTACCAGTTTCCCTGTATCACTAGCTACCAGCAACTCAAGGTGGTGGCTAAGCTGGCCTAGTCAGAGAGGACAGCTCTGTGGCTGTGCTGTGGTGCACTGGAGATTCCCAGAGTCTCATCTCAGAGTGCTGGTTCAAGCCCTGGATGCTCTGTTCCTGATTCTGCTTCCTGCTAATCTGCCTGTGAAAGCAGGACATGTTGGCCCAAGTGCTTGCAATTCCATACCCACATGAGACCGGCACAAAGTTCTAGGAACTCAGAGTTAAAGAAGCAGAAGATGGAGGATGTAAATAGCAGTCAAAAAATTGAGGAAGGCAGACCCAGAGTGTTCCCAAAACTATTTTAACTCTCCTAGGAATTAAAAAAAAAATGTGAGCAACGACAATGAACTTTCTAGAGTACAGAATTTCAAATTAATTTTATTTAAATTTTAGAAGGCCGGAAAACTTCTGTTAGATTATGTCTAGAAAAACAGTTAAAAGAAGTTTCCTCATATGTATAGACTGTCATTCCATTAAACTAATGAGATTCAGGTACTTTCTAGTGAAGGCTAGCTGTATAACTATCTCTAAGTGGATACCCTTCCCCTGGAACATCTTGTTACCTTTTGTTTCTTGTTCAAAGTGTCTCTCTCCCAGGTGAGCATTTGGTCCAATGGTTAAGATGGACTTGCATCATATAAGGGTGCCTAATTTCAAGTCCTAGTTTTGTTTCTAATTCCAACTTCCTGCTATGTGCACCCTATGTGGGGATGTACCAGCTGATGCCCAAGTTATCTCAGTTCTTGATACCCGTATGAGACCTGGATTGAATTCCAAGTTCCTGACTTTAACCTGATGCTGTTCCAGTTGGTATGGTCATTCGGGAAGTAAACTAACAGACTGGAGATATCTGTCTTGTCAGTCTGTCTCTGTCCCTCTGTATTTCAAATAAAAAATATCTATCTGGATACTTTGGTATTTTTATGTTTAATTTGTTGAGGAACCATCACACCTTTCTCTTTCTGTTATACTATTCTGCATTCCTACTAACAGTGTGCAAGGGGTCCAGTTTCTCCACATACTTGTCAACATTTACTGTCTTTTTTCTTTTTTACTATAATGGCAATCCTATCATTGGAATTTATGCATAAGAACTAAAATCAAGCTCTTCAGAATAGCTGCTGTGATACAGTGGGTTATGTCAACTTGTAATGCCCACATCTCATAAAGTAGTATGGGTTTGTGGCTTGGCTACTCCAAAACTCATCCAGGTTTCTGCTAATGGTCTGGGAAGACAACAAATAGTCCAAGTAATTAGGTTCATGCCAACCAGTGGGGAGATTGGATGGAGTCTCTGGCTCCTGGTTGTAGTCTGGCTATTGTGGACATTTAGGGAATCAACCAGCAGATGGAAAAAAATCTCTCTCCCCATCTTACTCTTTTTCTCTCTCTCTTTTCATCTCTGTATTCCAAATTAAAATAAAACTATAGGGCCCAGCACATTAGCCTAGTGGCTAAAGTCCTCGCCTTGCATACACTAGAATCCCATATGGGTGCTGGTTCTAATACTGGCTGCTCTATTTCCCATCAGCTCCCTGCCTGTGGCCTGGGAAAGCAGTTGAGGATGGCCCAATGCCTTGGGACTCTGCACCCTCATGAGAGACTCAGAAGAGGCTCTTGGCTCCTGGCTTCGGATTGGCTCAGCTCTGGCAGCTGGCAACTGATTGGGGAGCGCTGACAGAAGATCTTTCTCTGTGTATCTCCTTCTCTCTGTTTTTGCCTTTCCAACAAAAATTATTTTTTAATATTTCTTAAAGATCCCTATATATATATAGGGGATCTCTCTCTCTATATATACATATATATATCTTTAAGAAATATTAGTACTGTTACTTCCATTGCACTATTCATAACAGTCAAAATGTGGCAATTAGCTTGAATGTCCATCAATGGATGAATGGATAAATAAGTCATAATATATACATTTAATAGAATATTATTCAGCTTTTAAAAAGAAGGAAATTCTGCAATATTTGACAACATGAATGAAAATTGAGGCTATTACACTAAGTGGAATAAGCCAGTTATAGAGGACAAATGCTGTATCATTATACTTGCATGAGTTATCTAAAATTGTCCAATTCATAGCAAGAGGAAGTAGAATGATGTTTACTGAAAGGGTTATATAGTGGAAATAGGGAGTTGCTGATCAATGGGTGTAAAGTTTCAGTTACATAAGATGGGTAAGTTCTAGAGATCTTTCTCCATTAGGCCTGTACTTCACAATATTGTACTTGCATTTAAAGTCTGTCAGGAGAACAGATCTCATGTTAAGTGTTTTTACCACAGTGGAAAAATTCACCTCAGAAACACGTAAGAAATTATTCTTAAGTAATTAAATTTGTAGAATGCTTGCCCCAAATCAGCTGTTCCTCATTTTTTTTTTAGCAGAACTTTTCTGTTGTTAAATTTTTATTTATTATTTGAGAGGCAGAACAAACAGAGAAAGAGACAGAGAGAGCTCTCATCCACTGGGAATTTACCCAAACAATATTCCTACAAATGCCTATAGCAGTGGAAATTCAGAAGTCAAATCAGGTCTTTCACATGGGTGGCAATAATTCAATTACTTGAGCCAAATTTGCTGACTCCCACTGACAAAAAGTTGAAGTCAGGAACTAGAGTCAGGTATTGAACCCAAACACTCTAATATGTAGGCATGTTAACTGGCATATTAACTGCTAGGCTAAATGTCAGTGCCACATCTGTTTTTATAAAGAAAATTACAATTGTTTAAAAAAAGATCTTCCTACATCTCTGTTTATCATATGTCAGATTATCATATGTCAGATGTTGACCAGATGTTGGAGAGAGGTTTCTGCCAGTCAGCTTTTAAGTAGCAAATCTGTCCAATGTCATCAGAAAGCCAAGGTACTCTTTACAGATCCTGGATATTAATCCTTTGTCAGCTGCATAGTTTGCAAATATTTCCTTCCATTCTGTTGGTTGTCTCTTCACTTGGCTAAGTTTCCTTTGCTGTGCAGAAACTTCTTAGCTTAAAATAATCACATCTGTATTTTTTTTTCTTTAATTGTTTATGCTTTGCAGTCTTTTCCAAGAAAAGCAACCACAAAACACTCCAGTTAAGAAATGGGTAAAGGACATGAACAGGCACTTTTTAAAGGCATGAAATACAAATGGCCAACAAACTCATGAAAAGATGTTCAGGATCTCTAACCATCAGGGAAATGCAAATAACAATCAAAATGAGGTTTCACCTCACCCCAGTTAGAATGGGTATCATCCAAAAATCAGTAAAATCTGGCAAGGATATGGGGGAAAGGGTACCTTGATCCACTATTGGTGGGGATGTAAACTAGTACAATCATTATGGAAGACAGTAGAGAGAGTCTGAAGAGATCTGAAAAGGGATCTACCATATGACCCAGCCATACCACTCCTGGGAATTTACCCTAAGTGAAATCAGCATATTGAGAGATTTATCTGTATTCTGATGTTCTTTGCAGCTCAATTCACTATACGTAAGACATCAAATCAACTCAGAAGTTTATCAACTACATAAAGAAAATATGGTTACACTATCCAGCTATTAAAAAGAAGGAAATCATGTCTTTTGCAGCAAAATAGATACAATTGGAGACCATTAGACTTAGGGAAAGGAGCAATTCCCCAAAAGACAAATACTATATGTTTTCCCTAATTTGTGGTAAGTAGCACACAGAGTAAAAAATATGCAATGTGTATAAGTATAATTGAAATTTTGAGATTTGATTATTGATTACAGTCTCTGTACTCTTGAGGAACAGAGGGTTTTCTACTTAATACTTGCTGAACTATTTATTCAGTAGAGTGTTAAGCTTGTGATTATAAAGTAAAAGTGCATCACTGTAAAAAATTAGAAGAAAATTAAGAAAGAAAGAAAAAGAGTGGGCTGGAGCAAAGAGTAAACAAGGGACAGTAGGAAGATGGGATGGAAAGTATAAAACTTAAACTTAAAACTGTATATATAAGCCTATGGAATTGTATCATAAAATTTAAAATAGAAGAAAAAAACTGTATATATAAAACACATGAGATTTATTCCCTTTTTGTAAACTAAAATTTTAAGTAAATTAAAGTGAATAAAAGAGTGCACAAGTGCTGCCCTATTGTTCAGCATCAGGTCTTTGAATCTAAGCAATAAGTGAAAGTTTAGCTGAATCCTAAGTAATGCTATTCTGTTGATCATTAGAACAAAGTCTAGGGTAGAGAGAACATTTGATCTAAGAGGCCTAAGAATGATAGGTAAGGGCTATTAGAACAAATAAGGATAAGGGAGAGGGCCAGATTTGGGCCTAAAGCATCCTTTTTTGGGCAACAATATGTCAATGCATCCTAGAACAAAACTTAATCAAGCAAAGGAATATCTGCTTCTGATGGTGAGAAATCAGGTATCACTGGCCAGATTTTTTTTAATTCAACAGAAAATTTACCTGAGATTTTTAAGATTATGATTATGAAGAGAATTTCTGAAAGACTGAAATCTACAAAAGTGGCCTCTTTGTGAACAGGAAACAAAATGAATGGGAAAATACCAATTACTAATTAATAATGTGTTTTTTCCCCCCCAAAGGAATCATTTTCCTGGTAGAGGTTAATTTGAAGTTTCATCATGTCCACTTAGATTCTTTACGAAGTTCCAGTTTGAGCTTAAGCTGTGATTCAGACACATCTGTATGTACCTAAAGAACTGGAGGTTGCGCAGGCCTG